AAAATCAAGGGAAAAAGCAAATATTCTGTTTTTAATTAGAGAAATAATTGAGTAAATATTAAATTTTAAATTTAATTAAATTCATAAAAGTAAAAACACTTTTTTATTTTTATAAAATTTATTTGGAAAAAGCAAATATATTCGGTTTTAATTACAGAAATAATTGAGTAATTATTGAAATTGGAAAATTAACGTCAGTTTTCATATTAAAAATTAATAGAAATTTTGAATATTTTTAATTGCTCACTTTTTTAAAAAAAATATTAATTTAAAGGGCGTATAATGGAATAAATAAATTTAAAAAAAAATGGCAACTATAGATACAAAACGTAAAAAAAAATGGCAGCGACTAGACAGCTTACTGATAACAAAAAAAAAAAAAACTAAGTAATGCAAACACATTTGATAATCACTGAGAGGCTAAGACTAACTCTTTTTTTTTCTTCTTCTTAGAGAATATAATCTCGCGATTAATCGAGAGAGCAATATATATGCGATGTCCGCAATTTTGTTTGTAAAGTGTTATTGAGAATTTTTATAGCGGTCTCGTTTCATTCGTTGCGTGGGGTTGACCTGCGAAAAAAAAAGAAAAAAAAAAAGTCGCACGAGGGATACAACAAAAAAAATATGTGCCTTCTTTTATTGCGACTTGTATGTTCAAAGAAAAAAAAAAATATGAAAAAAAAAATGAAAAAAAAAATGAAAATGAAAGCTAATATCTATTGTAAATAGGTGTTTAACAATTTTATTATATTGTTCGTTAGCGTTATTCTCTCGTAAGCAGGCCAAAAAATTGTTCTTACACGATCTTTATAGCGTTATATATATATATATACATATTGTCTGAATTTTTCATCCGTAGAGTATCTACGTACGCACGTGTGATAATCATTGTCCTTTTTCTTGTTACCTGATTCGCAAGTTTTTGATTCTTTAAAGTTTTCTAAAGAAACAAAAAAAAAGAAAAAAAAAAAAAAAGAAACATAATAAATCGACAAGAAAGTTGATTAAGGAGAGAAATTTTTATTAAAGTACTATGTTATGAGTACAATATTAAATATTATAGAATTATTAATTTTTGTTATGGCAGAGAGTAAATCAATTTATAGAGTATATATATATATATTTATGTAATAAGTGATTGTTGCAGTGTCGTATCAATAGTTATTTCTCTCTTTTTTTCTTGAATTTCTTTTTCTTTACTTTTTGGTTTTTTTTACATTTGTTTTTTTTTATTAATTTTTTTTTTCTTTATTTTTTTTTTGTTGCTTTTTCTATTTTACATTTTCTTTTCCTATCTCTTATTTATATTTTGCTCTTTCTATTATTCTTATTTTTATTGATTACTTTTTTTTCAATTTTTACAAAAAACTATATTTTTTGTTTTTATTTTTCGTTAATTTTTTCCTTTTTTAACAATTTTTTTCGATGTTTTTTTACACTTTTTTTTTTTTTAAATTCCTTTCTTGGCTTTTTTTTTAAATAAGTTTTTGTTCCCTTTGAAAAAGGGAATACAGTCAATATATATATACTATCGAGATCGCGCGAACACTGCTGCGAATTTATCAAAGCACCCAGAGAAATATACGAGGCTTCAAAAGCAGACTGTACTGTCGGATATAAATATATATATTATAAATATTAAAAGAGATATCTATAGTTTATTAATGTATTGAATAATACAGATGTAAGTGCGTAAAAATCGCGCGTGCGTACAGTGGTACACACATATTGCGATTATTATTATTATTATTATTATTATTATCATATTATATTATATTATTATATTATTATTATATTATTATTATTATTATTATTATATTGTCATTCATAGCATATATATGAAAATTATATATATATAAATATATATAAACAAAAGTTATATATCGAATATATTTTAGAGATAGTTGGTAACGATGTACCACTTAAAAAATCGTTACAGTTAAAAAGATGATGCGTCAGAAAACGAAAGAGGTTGATTTTTAATTTTTGATATATGAGCGCGTTAAAAAAAAAAAAAAAAAAAAAAATAATGTATTGTTCAGTGGGATCCAATAATGTAGATGTTAGTAATCCCCGGTTCGGTGCCTTTTTAATAAGAAAAAAAAAAAAAAAAACAACAAACAAACAAAAATGAAAAATTGTTATGAAAAATGCGATCCAGCGCACGATCGCACCCTAGTGCCAAATAAACGATACCTTGAAATCGAGAAAAAAAAAAAAATTATAAAAAAAAATTTTATAGACAACTTTTTAGAGACCAAGTCGAATTTTTTCTGACGCTAGGTAGATTTAGTATATTTTATATGCACTGATTGTTTGATTATGACTATCGATAATAAAAGAACGGTGTTCAATAGATTGTAATTAAAAAAACATTTTTTCGAGTCACTCTTTAATATTGAAAATTCCCCCTTTGTATTTTTTCTTTCTATTTTCTTTTTTTTTTTTTTTCTTTTTTTAAATATTTGTGTGAAAGTTTGATGACTAAGGTGCGGGACCAAAACTTTTGTCCGCAGCATCACAAGACTAACCAACTGCTTATCACATAAACACACATATTTTTATATATAAACAAGTGGGGGCGAGTGATTAAAGCAAGGGAAAGGTAATTACTAAAAACTAACAAATAATTTTGCCTTGTTTTTTTTTTATATATATATAATCGTTTTTGTTACATGATAGTAGTTTTTTGTTCGTTTTTCATTGTCAGAGATGACTCACCTCCTGAGCCAAGAAGCACCGTTAATCTTAGCCAAAAATTACTTTTATTTAGTTATCGTTTTAGAAAATCGTATAAAAACATCTTTTGGATCCAAAAACAAAATGCAAAGATTCAATTGTAATTGCAGTACAAAAAAAAAAAATATATATTACAATTCAGGATCCACAAGATTTATTTCTTTATATTATTATATATATATGTTATATTATCCAAATTCGAATATTTGTTAATCGAGATAATTCAAAATTGTTTTTATTTCGATGGGAAAATGAGAAATTTTAAATTGAATAAATAAAAATGAATTTAAAATTGCAAAGAAAATACAATTTTCAAAATTCAATCCTCGATGGAATTTTCGAATTTGGATGAAAAATAGATGTAATTCTATATTTTATGTCGATTTCTTTTGTTTTTGCATGTTGCATATACGCATTGTTGATTTATATTATTTTCATTTTAAGAGTAAGAGAGAAAATGAAAAGTAATTTAATAAATATATATTTAGTATGTTGTAAGGTTTTTTTTCTTTTTTTTTCTTGTTTTGATGTGGTTCGTCAGTTGCATTTAATTTAACGATTATTTGTTTGGAAAAATCTTGCTGACTGCATATAAAAATATATTATCTATATTTATATATACACACAACATAAATTTACTGTACTTTTTTTTATATATATATATAATATTGTGCATGTAGTAAATGTTGTTAATTATTATATTCATTTTACACGAATATTATTTCTTCACTATAAAAATAGTGCACTAAAGTTATATGAATTTAAAGACACAATTTTATGGAATTTAAAAAACAGTTTATTATACTTTCAGCTACAAAGAACATATATTTTAAAATTAATTTAACAAAAATTTTTTTTTTCTAAATTAGTTTTATCACTTTAAAAAATGTTTACAATGAAAATTTTTTTCTTATACAAAAAAAAAAGAATGTTTCTTTTTTGTAATATTTGAAAGTTTCTAAACGCATATAACTTGTTTTATGGTCAGTAAAAATTTTTTAAAAACAGGAATTTCTTTTTTTCGTGCATTTTTGTGTTTTGTTTTTCTATGAAATTTGGTTTTTTTTTTTTTCAAAAATTCTTTACAAAATTTTTGTAACAAATTAAAGTCAAAATGAAAAAATGACTTACAATAGTGAAATCACAGAGTTTTGAAAGAAAAATATTCTGCAACTAATGCTAACTAAAATATTTTATTTTTTAGATCTGTATGATTAAATTTTTTTAATGTTTAAAACGATATAAAATTGGCACGAGATTTCTCTAAATTGTGTGAAAAAATATAGAGAATCGTGAGATTTTTTTTTTTTGGACATTCTATGTTATTTGTAGATAAGTTATGGATTGAGCTATGATTTTATTATTAAGAATATAATTATATTTTATAAATAAATATATATATATATATATATATTTACATGTGTGTATATATAAACACCATTTCGTATATAATACACTCATATAAGATTACACGCACACGTTGTCGCGCAATAATTAAAAAATGGTTTAATTTTATATTGTTTCGTTCACGTTTTAATTTCACCATTTTCCCTTTTCCGTTCGTCCTGAATTTTTTAGATTGTACAAATTTTATTTGTGTCTCATATTTGATTATTTTTAGACATTTTTTTTTATATATAATATATAAATTTTATATATTTTATTTGAAATATTAATTCGTATTTAATATTTTAAAGTTTTCATTACGTTTACAATTTTTACAATTTTATGAAATTTTCTTTATGTGACGCCTAAAAGGAACTGCAATTATTTTCAGTAGTAAAGAGCACAATGCTTTTAATAATTAAAATATTTTTATTAAATTTATATTATCGTATTTTAGGTTCTTTTTTTTTTAGTAATACTTGAAATTGGGTAGTTCATTTTCGATTTTTGTCAAAATATTTTAAATAAAAAGAAGTACAAAAATTGTCGTGAACCACCTTTTCAACAAGTGGCTTTAATCTAGATTTGCAAATTGTAATTACTTTCTTACTTTTAGATCGTTATTATTTATTGAATTTAATTTTAGTAAAATTATAATTTGGAAATGTAAATTTCCATTTAAAGTATACTAAAAATTTAAATGTTATTTTATAGTTAATTTTGCAAAATATTATTTGAAGTTGTTTAAATTTGATGTATTTTAAATGTTTCTTTTGAAAAGTATTAATTAGATTAGAATACGCACCTAATTTTAAAGAAAGGAAAGGAATGGAACAAAAAAATTAATTTTTCGTATTATTTATTTTTCATAGACTTTGCATCATCGCAGAGCAGCAACAGCAGTAAATCGGACATGAGTGAATCGTGGAAGGAGAAATCGCGAAATTTAAGTACACCACCTTCATCGCAATCATCGCCTGATTTAACAAAGACTCCAACCACAATATCAGCGTCAAATAATAATGCACCGTCCACATCATCATCGACGAATACAACAAATACATCGTCGACGAGAACATCGTCATCGCCCGCTACTGGCAGGGCAAACACTCCCAATAGTCCAGCGGCACAAAATTCACCAGGTGCAGGAACAATGTCAGCGCCACAAAGTCGTCAAGTTGCAAAAAGACGAATGAGACGACGTGCCACATCACAATCACAGGATCCAGCTGAACAACTCACTGAAATGTCCGTTAGAGGTTTGAACCTCTTCCGTTATGCTTCCATATCCGAGGGCGTTTATCAATGCACTGAGTGCGCTAAAGTTGATATACAAAAGACCTTTAAAAATAAATACAGCTTCCAGAGACACGCGTTCCTTTATCATGAGGGCCATCAACGAAAAGTCTTTCCATGTCCAATTTGTGGTAAAGAATTCTCGCGGCCTGACAAAATGAAAAATCACATGAAAACCGTGCATGATTATTTTTTGTCCAAAGACTGCGTAATGCCATTTGGTTTATTTCTCCCACCTTAGCAAGTGTCGCGAAAAAATCCGATTAAAATTGGTCACAGTTGAGCAAAGATTTCGCGGTGGACAAATATTTGACAGAGAATTGCGAGATCAAAAGAAAATAAAATAAAACAAATTTGCTCGAATTTAAGGATAAAAACGTCAAAACACAATTCATGATATTTTATCAAGTATTTTTTTCCATCGATTTGGACTTCAGAGATCATTTTTCAAAAGATTTTTTTTCCTTTAAATTTCTTTTGATATTTACATAATTTAAAAATAGAAAAGCAAATTTTTCAATTAATATCTATTTATAAGTTAATTAAAAAAAAAGAGAGAATTTCTTTTTCAAGGAGAAGAGAAATTATTCCTCTCTGAAGTAAAAATATTTTAACACTTTAATCTCACTTTCTCTCTCTCTCTCTCTCTCATTTAATAAGTATCATGCAATTCACTGATTTCATTTAGTTACCACCAGCTTCTAAATAATTACTGCACAATTACAATAATTATTTGATTTGCAATTTTAACGTGGATCAATAATTGCAACCCAAGTCCCCGCGATATCTTTTTTTTTAATTAATAAATAATAATTGACATGCTAAAATTTACTGCATGCTTAAATTTTACACATATCATTAAAAAAAAAAAAAAATTGACATTTCTTCTTAATCAAACAAGGAAAGTAAAATTCAAAGTAAAAAAAAAAACATTATTACAAAATTTTGTGTAAAAAAAAAAAAACATTTTTCGTGCAATTTAAAATTGTGAAAAATTTTATATAATTTTTCATAACGCATTTTATTATAAAAATTTTTTTTTGAAAGAAAAAGAAATTATATCTGTGATTCAATAAGTGTAAATTACCTCTGTGCCTTAGAAAGCTCGAGAGTTTGGTAAAAATGGAAATTCCATTTTTCAACAAATGATTTGATGAAAAAGAAAATTTTTTATATATCTAATTATTAATTATACAGAAGGATGTGAATGAAAAGTTTAGAAAAAAAAAATATTTCTAGTATTAATACAAGATCGATCATTCGCGTTTAAAAAACGTATTCTCGCATTTTTAGTAACTTTTACATAATGATGATTTATTATTAATTATGAAATTCTATTCAATAAATGAAAATTCTATTAAATAATTATGAAAAATACTATTAAAGAATTTAAAAGTATTTTTGAAAATAATTTATATCATTGTGAAAAAATTTTTATCATTTACTTTTTGAATGAGAGAATCACTTTTTTTTTTTTGAAAAATTTTACTTCAAAACAAAATCTTTTCGTTATGGAACAATTCTTATAAAAAATAAATATTAATATTCAAATAAAATATAAATATTAATTTGAAAAAAAAAAATAATGCATATACTTGCAAAAATTCGGAGAGATAAATTTTTGTTTGCACTTACACTTCACCAATCAAAAATTTAAATTCTCAATTTTTAAATTGATAATTTAACGCAAATTTTAAAGTTTTGGTAATTAACAAAAAAAAATGCGGGCATTTTCCTCATTATTGTTTTTGTTCTTTCTTAAAAGTTAGTTATTCTAATAAAAAAAAAATAATCAATTTATGATCTTAATATTCTTTATTAAATATTTATTAATATTATTAATCTACAAATTTTCTATTCTATTAATTAGTTACTATTTTCGTTCGTGGGAGATTTGTAAAATTTTCATCTCTTTGAATGCCAAATTGATTATTAAATATAAATATTAAATTTTTAATTTTAAAAATATAAAAATATATTTTATTTTAATTATACAAATAAATATTTGTAGTTTATCACGATTGGTGAAGTGATGTGTTCATATATCTTTAAGAATAAATCGTTACTAAGAGTCAAAATAAAAGTTAATATAATTTTATATTTTTTAATAAAAATTTTGATAATTATTACTAATAAAAATAATAACAATAATTATTATTAATAATTTTTATCGCATTATGAAATATAAAAAATAAAAAATTACGTTAATTTTTCTTTTTATTCAATTCTTTATTAATAAAGCCAAACGAGTGATGAAAAAAAATCATACTTTTCGAAGTCTTCCAATTTTTCTTGAATTTTATTGATTTACTGTAGTAAAGCCCGATTAAGAAGAATATTTAGAAACATTTTCTGAAAAAAAAAAAAAAAAAATTATTTTTCCACAAGATACGTAGGGATGGAATTAGATAGTAAATAGTTGAAGAGAAAAAAAACATGCACTACAATAACGGGATTTATTGCTTAGCAAAAATCTGTTATGTGTATAAGTCTCCGAAGTGTATTATAGATTTATTCATTACTAATTATTATATTATATTATATATTATATTATAATATTATTATTATTTTTATTATATTATAATTATTATTATTATTGAGTATTTACAGTGCATCATTACTGGAACATTATTATTAATATTATATTATTTTATTATAATTATAATTATAATTACTACTGCTACTACTATTACAACTACTAATCGGTTCCCATGAACATTATATATTAAAAAAAATTTTTTTTTGCTATGGTACCAGAAATGATACAAATAGTAGTAAACATTATTAAATATTATTATTAATATTATTAATTATTAATTATTAATTATTAATTAAATGCACAAACGCACGCACACGTTAGAGAAAGAAGATTTTGCGAAAAGAGATAGAGTTTATATTCTATTTCTTTATACCAGATGTTGGTTTATTTTATTTTTTTTTTTTATTTTTTTTTCTCTTTTTTGGTAAGAGTATGATTAATATTTTTTCATTCGTTTATACAAATCTTAGAGTTCTATTTAGATGACACGTTATTATTGAGAGCCCATTTTTCGGTGTTGGGAAGCACATTTAGCTAAAAGTTATATTTGTAATAGCAGATTGAATATTTAGAAATTAAGAATAGTATTTGTCGAACGATGTGTGTGATTGTGTTATAAAAAACAAAAGTCCATTGCGTTTTCATTTTTTCTATTTTTTTTTATTATTAAAAAAAAAAACAAATGATCTGATATGACCTTTTTTTTGTGAGAAAAGTAAAAAAAAAAAAAACAATTTTTATTGGACTTTCGATGGTAATCTAAAGCTTTTTACTTTCTTCTCAATCTTTCTATATATTTTGCAAAGACTTTTTGATAAATATCTAGGCAATATTTTTGTTTTGTTTATCCACCCTATTTGCATTCGTTGCGTGCTTTCGTGCGCTAATTTAAAACCGAAAGCAGTATTGGTCTTCCGCATCGACATACTTAAGCGAGATAGTTTATATATATATGTGCGTGTGTGTTTGTTTGTTTTGTATGGCTCGAATGTGTTTATAGAGATATTTAATGAAACTACAGATTTATATATATATATATAATTATATTAAAGAAAAAGAAAATATTTGGCCGGAAAAAAAGGATATGTGAACTCGCGTGTATAAATGTATGTGCTCTTTATGAATTGCTCGATTATGCGAGCATCTATCATTATTTCCACGCCACTGATGCAGTTTATTTCAAATTTTGTCTTATTTATATTCAGAAATTAGAATTGTTGGGAAAAAAAATAATTATATTTGAAAATAACATTTTTCTAACAAATTATATTTATTGAAATAAATAATGTTAAAAATTACAAATTTGGATAATATTTCATTATAAAAGAAAAGTGAAAAAGAAATTAAAAAAAAAAAAATTTAAAAACTGCGTCAGTTGTGGGAAATTTGTTGAATTTCTCAAGTTTATTGCTGAAAAATCGAAAGTAGGCTGAGGATTTTTTCTTCTTTCCTTTTTCTTTTTTAACAATAATTAATTGATAACACAATACGTTATTATTACGTTTTTAGTTACTATAATTAAACTTAGACATGCTATTTGTAATAGATGTATAACTATTGACGAATAACGTTTATTATATTTTTACTTTTAACAAAAAAAAAAAATAATAATAATAATATTCGGGTAGTAGTTTTGATGTTCTCGATAATGAGAATACAAAATATAAAAGAGTAATTTCATATTTTAAGAAAAGCAAGAAAGTTATATAGACAAAGCATGTTTTCTTTTCCTTTGCCTAAATGTTTTAATTTTAGTTTTTGGATAATGTATAACGCTTGTATAAATATTATAAAATACATTGAAATTATATTTGTTATAAGAAAATAATAATAAATATTATTAATAAAATAATAAATAAGCAATGTATTTTATAATATTGTATTAAATAATACAATATACAATGTTTCGAATACTCGAGTAATAATAGTATTATCTATGATGACGCGAATAAAATTCGCATTTTTGACTAGATCACGGAGAAAAAAAAAAAAAAAATGTTAAATTATAAAAGTTAGCCTAAAAGGAAAGGGAGAAGGAAAAGAAGACAAGATTATTTTACGTCAAAGACATATTATATTATTAATATTATTAGTGATTAAAATTGTCAAAGAACAGATGAAAATACTGAACGGATGCTTGTAAAAAAGTAAATGGAAAGAGAGAAAGATGATTGGAAAAAAGTAAAAAGTTTTAAGCAATTAGAGAGTTACAAGAGAAAATATATTATATATTATTATATATTAAAAAAAAAATGTATATTATATATTATGTTATATTGTACATCTGCCCATTGTGGTGTTGATGAACCTTGAAAAAAAAGTCTTTAACATTACTATTTACACGATATAAAAAAAAAAAAAACAAAAAAACAAAAAAAAAACATGCACGCGGTTGTAGCATATAAAGCTAATATTGTTCGCACAAAAAAAAAATACTATTTTGTCGTCGTTATCGTCGGTCGACTAATGTGTGTAAGTGTACCTATAACTTGGTGCCTGGTGGGCAATACAGCTTACGAAGAAAAATTTATTATTATTATTATTATTATATTATTATATTATATTATTATTTTTATTTGTTTTTATCTAATTGTAGTTTCTTTGTAACTCTTTGTGATATACATTGCAATAGTCTACGACCGAACGTTTCTTGTATTGACGACCACATCCTTCATTAAATAAAAAAAAAAAATATATAATATATATACGTACGTGTATCTCGATACATTGTATGTGTATATTTATGTGTATGTATAAATAGAAATTTTAATTTGATTGAAAAAAGTTTTTTCCCAATTTCTACTGTAATTAATTTTAATCGAAAGATTTATTTTCTTTCCGTGTAAAAATATTAATTAGTTAATTGACTAATTAACGCGATTTTAATATAGTGGTTTTTTTTTATATATAAAATTTACATTATAAAATGTAAAACTAAAAAGAAAAACGGGTCCTCTAAAGGTTAAGAGGTGAAATAGAAATTAATTAGTGACAAGAAACGAATGTAAGAAATAAAAAAAATTGAAATACAGGAATGGCATCGTTGGTTTTTGAATTTCGAAGAGCTGTGCAAAAATTGCTCGTTATTCCATTTTTGAGCACTGCTGAACTTTTCAACTCAGGGGTAATAGATATTTTGTTAAGAATAATTTTTTGCATATTTAACAAAAATTCAAATTTTTTTTAAAATTAACCCTTTTTTTTATTTCTTATTCAATTTTCATTCTAAAAAAAGAAATTTTTCTCCTTATTGAGGAAATAAATTTCATTAAATTGATTTTTGAATATTTTTGATTAATTCAATTTGTAAAAAAAAATCGATTAATTAAGAATTATTAATATAATAATAATTAATTAAGGTAATAATAATTATTTAAATAAAAATTAATTTTTAAAAATTAATTCACTAATTGAGAATAAATTTTTATGAAATTCTTTTTTTTCTCCTCTTTAACATAAAGAAAATTTTAATAATTTATTTTTTAGACATTAATTAAATTAAGTGAAAAATCAATTATTAAAATTTTCTTCAATTTATTATTTATTTATTTTATATAGTAATGAGGAGAAAAAAAAGAAGTTTGAATAAAAAAAGGAAAATCAATTTTTAAGATTTCTTTCGGGCATAAATGTTCTTGGTACTAATTTTTTTTTTGCAATTATTATAATATTTTCTAGATCAGCTGCCAAATTTGCCAAGTGACATCACCTTTGAGATATGCACATCGCCAACGAGTAGAGATGATCAATTTTCGGATGCAAGCGGACCGTTTATAAAGGCTGAGAGTGTCAGTGGAATGCACTTTCTTACTGATCGAGAGGACGATGATCAAGGCGAACAAGGAGGCGATCAAGGGGATCATCTATCGAAATCTGAGACAAGCGATGGAGAACCGGAGGTCAGGAAACAGGTTGGTTGGTCTCGCTGCTCTGTCTCAGGGAGTACGCCATCATCTCGCAAGAAGAAATTTCGTTCATTTGCTTCCAAGTTGTGTCCAGTTAAAGGACGCTCAATGCCACGAAAATTGCGCCCTCGTATATGAGCTGCGAAATTTCTCAAAAAAAAATATATAGATATTAATATAAATCAATTTTTCATAGAAATGGGTGGTAGAACAAAAAAAAAAAAAATAGAAAAATATTAGTCGAAAAATAAAATTATTTTTAATGTAGAGGAAGAAAAAAAAGAAAAGGTCCTGGCGTATTCCCTGGTGGTTTCTTTTTTTTAATAAAATCACGCCATTTATATTCGTTCTTCGCTCTTCGCTGCTCTCATCCTAAATGTATAATAATTATTAGATTTAATAATCAACGCTGTTCCAAAAAAAGGTTCATATTCTTCCACAAAGATATGCTTTGACAAATAAGCGATATCTGAAATTATTGTCTTTTGTCGAAAAAATTGAATTTAGAATTTAATATTTCAGGATAAAGCTTATCAGAATTTTTTGCCCAGGGATCAGAGCTTAAAACTAATTTTGAATTTTCTATTTTTTTACTATATTATTTTTATTTTACTATTTTTCAATTTCAAAATTTTATTTCATATTTTGTTATTCTTTTTCTCATTTTTTTTTTTTTTTATCAATATTATTTTGTTCATTGTCATTGTAAAATTGAAGTTTGCAGTTCTGGAAAGGGCGGATTGGACCGCCGGGATACATCACAAAGAGAAAATAATTATAAATGAAAAAAAAAAAATTAAATTAACTTAAAATTATTTTGAAATATCAAGTCGTGACGTTAACATTAGTGAAAAATTTTTATAAATTAAATTTTAAACCCAATCCGCTCTTTTGTCCCTGTAAAATCCGTAAGATTCCTCTCTAAATTTGAATTTTGTAAAATTTCCATTAATTAAAAAATAATTTTAATATTTATTTATTTATTTATATATTTATTTATATATTTATTAATTTATTTATTTATATAAACGGGCATTCATAAAATTAATATTAATTAATTTGTTTATTATTTATTTATTGATAAAATTGAAAATTTTTAATCAGTGGCTTTATTTTTAATAAATTCAAATTTAGGGAGATCGAAATCATATTTAGTCAAATTTATTTAATCTATTTTGCTAGCTATAAAATTAATTTATTAATCTATTTATTTAATTAATTTATTTATTTATTACCTAAATCTAGAATCCACTGATGAGACAGCATATGAGATTAGCTAAATGAATTGTTAAATATATTCTAAATAGAGAAAAAAAAATTTAGTGCAATTTTTAAAATGTTTGACAAAGTGTTTTTAAACTAATTCAACGAAATTCGAGAAAATTTATATAAATTTATTATTAATAATTTATATAATTATTTATCGTAATCATTTATTTAATCATAAGCGTATTTATCATTTATTCATTTCATTAATCAAATTTTCTCATTTTGTATATTGCGATTAAGTTTTTGCGTGTTTAGGTGCAACAATATTAGAAAACGTTAATTAATATATAACAATTAATTGATTTTTAATTGTTAATTAAATTTAATAGTATACAATTATCTCCCAAAGGAAAAAAAAAATTAACCCTAACCGTACCAGTGGTACAAAAAATAAAAAAATGTCTAGTTTTCTTTTTTGAAAATATTAGAATTAAAAAATGAATTTTTTAAAACAAAATAGATTAAGAATGTAATATGAAAATTTAAAAAAAAACAAAAACAAAAAACAATTTGATAAAGTGTTTCTGAAGTATTGTAATCCCGGCGGCCCAATAAATGAGGAAATGCAAATTTTTTTCGAAAAATCCCAAACAAAAAGGGACTAATTTCTGGATATTTTCGTCACAGCGAAGAATTTCAAGGGGCCGTTCAGCATCTGCTGCCAATCAAATAGAAAGACTCGAAATTCAAAATATACAACATTGGCCGGAGTCAGGACCAAATCGTCTTCGATGCCGAGTCTGTTCAGTTTTTGGACAACAAACTCGAACGAGATTTCGTTGCACTAAGTGCAACGTTGGACTTTGTCCAAATAAATGCTTCAAAAAGTATCATACTCGTCTGAGATTATGATTCTCATTCAAGTAAGATAATTGGTCTATTTTATTTTTATTTTTTTTTTTTTTCATTTTTTTTTCTCTTTCACGATTATATAAATATAGGAGAGAAAAAATTATTAAAATTCAAAAGGTCTTCTTTTAGACAAAAAAAAATATTTAAAATTATATTAATAATAAAATTACGAAAGAGAAAATAATATCGACTGCCGCATTTTTTAAAATATGTGTGAAACAAATTTTTTTGATTTTGTGAATTTCTTTTTTTTTTAAAAAAAACCTTCTGGTACGATTAGGGTTATTAAATTTTAATCGAGAAAACATTTATGAATTCGGAAAAGGTACATCGACCTTGTAAATTTTAGTAACTTTTTCTGAAAAAAAATTAGGTGTTTTTTTTTTTTATTTTTAATTTAGCATCCTGTCAGCCATGTACCACATGTGTGCAATAAATGTTTTTTTTGCAAAAAAAAAAAAATAAAATAAGTTTGCGATTGTGTTGTTTTTAAAAATAAAGACTTAAAATTTAAAAAAAAAATCTTTTTTTCATTAAAAACAACATCCACAAAAAAACTGCGAGTGGATGACAAACAATTATCAATTACATGACCCAAATAAATAAATTTTTATTTCATAATTTTAGTGAATTGATTGATTTAATTAATATTAAATTAATTAATACTAGTTTAATTAATTCATTAATATTAATTAAATTAATTACTAAAAATATTGCCAAAAAAAAAATTATTAAATGTGATTTTTAATAAATAATAATTAATGTTTGGTTGTTAATAATTATGAAAGGTGAAATGAAATTGATGATTGCAAATTAGGGAACAAAAAATATTTACATTTAAAAAAAAAAAGAGAGAGGACAAAGGAAAAAAAATCGAATAAAATTATTTTACAAGCTGCTGGAATACCTCCCTCAAAACGATGGATCGGTAGTCTGCAAATGGTGTGGCGAGGTAATTTCTAATAGACAAAGATGGTACCGACATAAATACAAACTACATGTTCCAACTCAAGTGACACAACCAGCAGCACCCATCTTCAAATGCAATAGTTGTAATACATTCTTCAAATCAAGGAAGGGTTACATTGGCCATCTAAGTTCCAGGCATTCCGATTATGAGAATGATGAAAATCGTGAGGACCTCGGCTACAAAAAAACAAGAACGAGAAATCTTGAGGCAAGTGATTTATTATTCATTATTATTATTATTATTATTAATAATATTATTAGTACAATATAAAAAAAAGAAATTTACATTTTCAGTCAACAACAACAAAAAGTTGAAAAATAATAATTTTTGTTGTAAATAAATTTTTAAGTTATTAAATTAATTATTAGAAATAATAAAATTTTTATTCTTGACTGGATAGATTGCACGAGGTCCAGATTGGGAACAACAGAGAGAAAAGGAAGAGAAGCTGGTTGCTGACATAATCGATCGAGTTAAACGAGAATGTGAAGCTCAGGGTGAAACAGTTTCGAGGCGAGGTTATTCAAGAAGAACAACAGTAATGAACAGCTAAGATTCAATTGAATTTAAATCAATCAAATTTTCCTAGAATAATGTCAGATAATTTAGATGTAGAATAAAAATCTCTATAATTTTGCAAACTATGAAATCTAAGAGAGAGAGAAAAAAAATGATTAAAAGATCATTTTTATTTAAAACTCGTATCAATATAGAAAATTATCATTTCTTGAATGACATTTTTCCGAAAGTTACGTGAAAACTATTTTTATTTTTATTAATAACTTAAAAAAAGAAAATAATCAATAGATAATAATATTCAAATAAATTAATATCGGAATGAAAATAATAACTGAAGGAAAATGAATTAATAATAACGAAAATAATTTAATTACAAAATTTAAATTATAGAAAAGTGTAACCAATATTTAATTAAAAGCTACTTCAAAATTCAGTGATATAGAAAATATACATATTTTAAATAATAAAAAAAAAAAAGCAAGGCTGTTTAAGAAATTTACGATGAATTCTCGCGGGAAAAGTAAATTTATCATCATTTGATAGAAACTGTGAAATTGAATACAATTTCAATTAATTAATTTTAATAATTAATTTATTTATTCTTTTCAATATTAAAAATTGCAAAGCAAATTTAAATTCGATTATATGTGAATAATAATAATTATTATTCTCCACAATAATTATTAATAGAGGCCAAAATAATTAATCGATAATGATAAATCCGATTGAATTTCAAGAAAAATAAAATCCAATTCTTCCCAGTCTGTTAAAGATTTTCCTATTAACCAGTGCCAAATATAATTCTTCCCGCAATACGTACATGGAAATTTCATCGAAAAAAAAGGGGAAAAATGGAAAAAAAAAACAAATTACTGTACGTTCATGTAGACGATGAGCGGTCGTTTGCTCAAAAGTACAATTATTATACTGTATAATTATGTACATATAATATTTTAATTAATTCATTATAATGTATACGTATATATATAAATTTTTCTATTTTTAAATACTACTCTCATAATGAGAGACATTTTTGAAAAAATGTGAAAGTGAAAAATTATTTATCGAGAGATCGTGCGATATCTCTTTTGTCGAATATATTCGAAAAACTTCATTTTTATTTACGTAATTAAAAATTATCCATTTTTATAAAATTCTCCTCTCTATTTTTTTTTCATTATTAAAAAATCATTATTACTTTCAATAAGCTAAAAATTAATAGAAGCTGATAAAATCCAACTATTTTTGTGTTGAAAATTCAAAATTCTAAAGTTACCTTCTTTTTTTTTTTTGCAAATCAAATCTTTTTTTATAATTAAATTCATTTCCAAGTTGAGAAATAAAAATATAATTTTAAAAAGAAATTAAAAATAAAAGAAGTTTTTAGGTGAAAAATTAAAAGTCAAGATTGTAATTTAATTTCAGTTAATTTTTTAATTATTATTATAATTAATTAATAAATTAAATTAGTTTTATCCGTTTCTCCTTAAAAGCTTGTGATCGAAGAAAGTAAAGTATATAAGATAAGAATTTCCAGATCTATATAAGTGATTGAATAAATTGTAAACATTTTTTTATAAAGAATGAATCATTTTCATTCAACGCGCCCTCGAGGAGGAAAGTAGTGTCAAAAATTCACCAAAAATGCTAAATAGTTAGAAAAGAAAAAAAAAAAAGAAAAAACAACAACCAGATACAGTTAAGTAGCTCATATAACTATAGATAGGATTTAATATTTATAAACGTATACAGATTTGATTCTCGTACAAAAAAATTTAGAATATACGAGACAAATTAATGTAATTTATTTTTTTTTTCGTATAAAATGATAAAATTTAAACAGTCCAATATTTTTCTTCACAAAAATGTTTATCCTTTCCTTTTTTTTCGAAAAAAAATAGAAATTAAGAAAAGGAAAAACAGAAGTTTAGTTAAAAAAAAGTCCTTTCAAAAGTTTATTACAAAAAAAGAAATCTGAAAATGATAAATTATACACGTCTTCCAAAAATATGAGAAATTTTCGAAATTAATTTAATTTAATTAATTGTTGACAAAATTAACTATTAACTATCATTTTTTCTAAATACAATATTCAAAGTTCTTAATTTTTAAAAATCAAATATTTTTATAACGCGTGTCGATAATATTATTGAAAATTATAAAAATTGAAAACATCGATTACGCATATTCGAATTTAATTAATTTTAATGATCAATTGATTTTTAGTTATCGCAATAACCAACTGATATTGTAATTAAGTTATTAATTATTTAATTAACTAATTACTCGATTAATTAATAATCTGTCTAATTAATTAATTGGTTATTGTAATATCAAAATATCGTTTAATTTTCAATATTTAATTATATTCATATTAATCTTTTGCGATTAATCAACAGCTGGAATACCAAAGAAAAAATTTTTGAATTGGAATAATACGTTACTGTTTATGCTCATCAAAGCAAAACTAAAGTACGTTTTTTCCATTATAAAATATCGTTATCAATATATATTTATTCTTAATGCGCATGACTGTAAATAAGTAAATAATTTAAGTGTATATAATAAATACTGAAGTGTTTTACCTACCTCCTCATTGCGAATCGAACTGGCCAACTCTTCCTTAAATCGCTTGTTATATTGTATATTCCAATATCATTATAATGCTATAATCAATCAAAAAAAAAATATATATATATTAAAATCTTTTTTTACTCTTATAAAATAAGTTTTTAAAATATTTTTTGAAAAATAAATTTATTTATTTTAGAAAAGTATAGATATATGTATTTTTTGTGAGTACACTAATACTCGAGTTATTGACACACATAATTTCTTGTGTCTCAATAACTGAGATTTCAGTGTAAAATGCAATATTAAAAAAACGAGTTTATATATACTTTTTATCCTCGTAATTGAAATTAATGAAAAGTCTTCTATTAATTAAAATTCACTGGAATTTTTGTAGCTGATTTGTCATTAATTTAAATTTTGGGGCTCAATTAAAAATATTTAAAATTTAATTAATAGAAAAAAGTAGTTGAAAACTCCTTTTGTTTAATAAATAACTTCGTTGAAACTCAACTTTTGTACGTATTTTATATATACATATAGAAAAAGAGAATATATTGTATAAAAATAAATTAAGGCGAAAGAGAGAGAGAGAGAATGAGAGAGAATAAGTGAAACTGGGAAAAGAAGAGTGGCTGGGTCGATATTTCTATAAAAAGAAAAATTCATTCTTCCGCTATTTGACATCTTCAGTGTTATAATAATTAATGATAAGAAATTAAGGCTGATAATGCTCTCTCCTATAGAACATTGAAATGCATTTACATTGAGAGCTTTCCAAAAATTAAAATTTTTTATTTTCATTATAATTATATATTATACATGAAGCCAAAACAATTTTTCTATCTCATTATTGCAAAATTATGGTAAATTTTTTTCAATTTTCATTTAATATAATTTTTAAATAAAAAAAAAAATTAAATGTTATAATTATTTGTTAGATATTATATTTGTATGGAAAAGTTTATAATATAAAAAATTTCGTTAAGAAAAATTATATATTATATATTTATTATTTTAAATAAAAAATAAAAAAAGATTTATTTATTTATTAAAAATTATTTTATTATTAAATTAAAATTTATTAAAATATTGATAAAAATTAATAAAATATAAATTATTTAATTTTACGTTTATTGAACTTTTGATAAAAGTATAAAAATTGTTTTCAACGAAAATTCAATTCAAAAATTATATATTTAAATATTAATATTTCTGATTTATTAATATATAAATAATGCGGTAATTATAAGAATAAAAACTACTGATGTACCTATATAGTAAATTATAAAAAAAAGGTATAAAAAAAAGAAAACTGTTCCTAAATATAATTCTTAATTTTGCAATAATGATTAAGTAAAAAAAAAAAAAAAAAAAAACCGTGAGTGATAATTATATTTCGGGGTGAGTTCAAGGTGTTTCAAAATCTTGATGTTACTCAATGTAAAATATATAAATACAATTGATAAGAATATAAGTGAAGTATACAAGTCCAGTTTATTTAGAATTTTTTTTTTAATTTTCATCAAAAATATTACTGTGAAAATTTTTTTTTTTTTGTCATTTTTTATAATTATTTATCAAATATTTATAAATTATTTATTAATTCACAAATCTACATTATGTATAAATATATTGTAGAAGAAAATTGATTAAGAAAGTTGAAACGCCTCTTAGAACTATAAAAAATAAAATTTAAATCAAAGGAAATATAGTGTAATAAGTTATTTATATCTAAACAATCATTCAAAATGTCGAAGATGAATTATTGTAAAAATAATAAATTCGGTGAGATTGAATTAAAAATCAAAATAATTTGTTTGATAAATATTTTATATTTTCCTCTGAAACCTGAAATTATTTCATAACAAATGTGATTTGAAATTTTAATTTAGAGAATTTAATTTAATTGAAATTTTAATTTAATTAATATATAATAATTTCAATTACATTAAATTATTTCAAAAAATTATTGAAGCTTCATAGTAAATTATATATACAATTTTTGTTACAAAAATTAAATTTTTTTTTGTTTATAACCTAAAACTAAAAAAATATAACCTAAAAATGTAACTGCAATTTTGTATTTTTATATCAATTTATCAAAACTAAAAATGACAAAACGATATAGTAGAACAATTATTAAAAAATAATGTAAAACTACAATGAAAATTAATTATAAATAGTGAATTTTCTTTGACGTACCTTTGACGAATTTATATTTTTTATATTTATATTTGTTTATATTTTTTTAAGTTTGTAAATACGGGATTTATTTTTCCTCTTTCTTAAATTGTCATTCAAATTCATTTTTTTTTATTAATCAAACTGCTATTTAATTTATTTAAAATTGCAAAAATAAGCTGACTTTCAGAAGTACATGTGTCAATATCAGGAAAACATTTTTTTCCCTTCGACTAACAATTTTAAATTGCCCTCCGTTTTGGCGCCATCTATGAAAAGGAAGAACGCCCTCTACATATGGATTATTTTAATACAGCAACTTTACACTCTATGTTAATCTAGTTTATGATCTGTTTACAGTGGTGGTAGCGTTCTAGTAAATTTGTGTGTATTTATAACTTAGTTTATATTTATAAAAATTGTCCCTTTTATTTTTATTTATCGTGTATTCTTATCATCATTGCCTTAATAATTGCGTTCACATTATTCGACAGAATAATGTCGGATATTCGTGTTGTTTGATATGTGTAAACTAATCTTCGATTTGGATCGCTCGTTCCTCTTACCAAGCCAAGATGACGAGAAATTTGTTATTTCAATTCGTTTTCATTTATTGTCTCATAATTCGTGGATTAAATGCTGTGCATTCGGAGGAAATTGAAATTGAAGAAGACACAGTAATTCCAGTCAAACCACATGAAAAATGTGAACCACTTAAAATACAATTGTGCTTAAATTTGCCTTATAATTATACAATTATGCCAAACATGTTGGGCCATCAGGAACAAGATGAGGCAGGTCAACGTATTCATGATTTTGCACCACTCGTTAAAATGAAGTGTAGTTCTGATTTAAGATTTTTCCTTTGCTCATTATATGGACCTGTGTGTACAATTCTTGGCAGAGTACTTCCTCCATGTCGTTCATTATGTGACAATGCAAGAAAAGGTTGTGAACATCTTCTTAAGGCATTTGGTTTTGACTGGCCGGAATATTTTGAATGTTCAAGATTTCCGGTACATGGTGGCGATACAATTTGTGTTGGACCAAATATAACACCATCGGAATCATCAGTACCTACCGAAATACAACCAAGAATTCCAGTTTCAGAATTTAAAGAATTTCATCCCTCTTCATTGTGGTCCAATGGTCAAAGAACATTTGGTTATGGATTTGCACCGATGCCTGGCGGTAAAGTACATGGTTTTGTATGTCCAGTTCAATTTAAAATTCCCCATGATTATGGATATTCATTGAAAGTTGGCGATAAAATTGAATACAATTGTGGTGCGCCGTGTGATAAAATGTTTTTCACTGAGAAGGAAAGAAAATTTGCAAGAGCTTGGATTGGTACATGGGCAACTCTCTGTGCTGTTTCTTGTTTTTTTACTTTTCTCACATTTTTAATCGATACTAAACGATTCAGGTATGTTGTTCACAATTTTAATTGTTAAAAATTTATTTAACTTTTCTAATTTAATTATGCACTTATAATTCTATAATTACTTTAATTTTTTTTTCAAATATTAAATCTATAACAATTACATAAATTAATTTTACAATTACAGATATCCAGAGAGGCCAATTATATTTTTATCAGTGTGTTATTTAATGGTGGCACTTGCCTATGTGATTGGATGGGCAGCAGGTAATTCAATTTCATGTCGAGAACCATTTCCATCATATAATGTTAATACAAGAGTCAAAATGATATCGCCAATAATTCAAGGGACAAAACAAGAACTTTGTACACTTTTATTTATGGTGCTTTACTTTTTTGGAATGGCTTCAAGCATATGGTGGGTAATTCTCACCTTAACATGGTTCCTAGCTGCTGGACTTAAATGGGGACATGAAGCAATAGAAGCAAATTCACAATATTTTCATTTGGCTGCATGGGGTGCACCAGCTATTAAAACTGTCACCATTCTCGCTATGAGAAAAGTTGAAGGTAAATATTAAAAAAAAAAACAAATTTCGTCGCATGAAATTACAATTAACTAAATTAGGATAAAAGATTTTATTCAATAATTAATGAATCTTTAAATTTAAAGGTGATGTTCTTTCGGGTGTTTGTTATGTTGGTCTCTGGAATGTCGAGGCACTTCGAGGATTTGTTCTCACTCCACTTTGTATTTATCTTGTGCTTGGTACTGTTTTTCTACTTGCTGGATTTGTTTCATTGTTTCGAATTCGAACTGTGATGAAACATGATGGAACAAAGACGGATAAATTGGAAAAATTAATGATTCGAATAGGAACATTCTCTGTACTTTATACTGTACCAGCTTTAATTGTTATCGCTTGTCTTTTTTATGAGCAAGCAAATTTTGATAAATGGATGCTCACCTGGAATAGAGATATGTGCAATCAAAATGCTTACGCAATTCCATGTCCATTGGGAGAAGAAACAAGTCGTCCTGAATTTGAGGTTTTTATGATTAAATATCTAATGGCTATGATTGTTGGTATTACAAGTAGTTTTTGGGTTTGGTCAAGTAAAACACTCACTACTTGGCGATTGTTTTTCAATCATTTACGTGGACGTCGAACCACTGCCTATGTTTAAAAGAAAAAAAAAAAAAAAAATTCTTTTTTACAAGAAAAAAGAATGCTCTCGTTGAGATGAATTTTAGCTCTTAATTTGTAGATTTCATACAAATGTTTATCATATTTTTAAGACTGATCATTTTTGCATAATTTTTTCTTTTTTTTAAATACTGGTATATTTTTAAATCAAGTATTATTTTTTTAACTTCGAGTATTAAAATTTTATCGAGATGAATAACTTTTTTTTTAAGTATAACTGAAATTAAATTAAATTTAGGTAATTAGGTAAAAAAAAATTTTTTCGAGAATACGAGAGCGTTCAGAAAATATTCTATTGGAAGTAATTACTTAAACTGCCAATCGTATTTTCGACTTACAATTAGCAATTTCACTGCCGCTAATTCGCCTTTGAAGTTCTAGGTAGCATTTAATTCACTTGTTCCTAAAACTGTTACAGCTAAATTAAGAAAGAAGTTACATTTTTTTTTTTTTAGAAAAAAGGGAAAGCAAAAATTGTGCCAATGGTTGAGTTATTCAATTCTCGTTTGCATTTTAATATTTTATATATCGCGAAGTTTACTTTTATCGCACGAATTTTTTTTTTTTAGATTTTATTGATAAATGACGAAAAATACGTTTTGATTGATTAAATTAGTTTTTTATTAATAATTTTATAATTGATAAATCGAATAATTAGAACTGAAGTAGTTATCGACACAATGCTCAAATTAATATTCTCATTTTTAATGTGTCGATAATAATTTCTTTAATTTTCTCTTCATTTTGAGAAATTAAAATATTTCTTTTACGCTTAAGAATCTCGAGTAATTAAACAAATTTTTATACAACTTTCTATAAATGACATAGAAACACTTTAACCTAATACTCAATATAAGACTTTTTGCACTTGTTGATAGTATCATTTTTTATATAAATATATATATATTATATAGATATATAATTTCATTTTAACTTTTTTTTTTTTTTTGACAAAACTACATTGGCATTATATGCGGCTATGTGTAATATTTATGAATCGCAAGAGATCAAAAGATTGTCAATAGATGTAATGAATAAATTTGCAGTTAATTTTAAGAAGCCCATAAGACTAAAAACTAATTTTGTAAATAAGTTTTAATTTCTACTATCGATTGTGTATCATAAGATATTTTTAAATAATCATGTACATAAATGTCGTCATACTAGTTTGATGATTAAAAAAAAAGGAAACTAAAAAATACAACTCTGTTGACTCTCAATGAGTCTGTCCGAAATTTTTTTTTTTTTTTTGATTTCATTGTCGTTTTTAGATTAAATAAATTCGTCCATTGAAACCAGTCGAGCTTTTGTGTATGTCAGACAAGAGTTTTTAGTGCTTAATAGAAATATTATTCGATGAAAGTATGCATGTTTATGTTACAGCATACGCGAAACTAAAATATTCAACGTGCCTGCACGTAATGTTGTGTAAAACTGCAATTATGCATTATATTCTTTATATATATTAATAAACAAGATATTCACATAAAATTTTATTGATAATGGTAAATGAAATTTCTCCCATATTAAATTCATTTATTAACAAATTATAATTAGACATAAAAATTTATTAATTACTTTATTTAAATTAATAATTTAAAATCTATTTTATTCATTCAGTTAAAGAAAAAATATTTTTATTCTCTAGAAGGTAAGTAGGAAGATTGTGTTTTATTTTTTAAACATCAACTTTTAAATAAACAACTATATTTGTAATAATAATAATAAATTTTATTTAGAAAATTTACAAATTTTTTTTTTATAGAATATTTATTTATGTTTTTTGATTATTTTGTAATTTAGCTTCCTTTAATTTCTTAATTATTTCTGGATGTTTCAAAATTCCTTTTCTTCTTAAAAATCTTACTAAAGCTGGAGCCACTGCTAATGTTATCATAATCCGTATGGGTGCAAATAATTTATGAATACCATATGCTAATGTAAATGTTGATGATTCAGACAATAGTTTAGTCGTCATTTCATCGTTACACATTGTCGATACTATTTCATGCATATCGAGTCCACTGTAATGGATTAAAATAATTTTTTTGATTATTAATATTTTACAAAATTTCGACAATATTCAAATTTCAAAAAAAAAAAAATTTTTTTGTTGCATTTAAATGTTATTAAACTGTATTGTTAATTTAATTATTAATTTCTGTAGTTAACAATACAGTTTAATTATTAATTTCTCATTTTTATTATAAATTTATTATTTAAAAAAAAAAACTACGTAATGAAAAATATATAAAAAGACCTAGAAATAGCGAAGTAGAAACCACCAAGTGACAATAATGATATTCCAACGTGGAAGACTATAATAGTTTTTCCGTAATCTTTTATAAGAATATCCAATTTTTGTTTTGTTGTTAGTTTTAAATTTGAATCTTCAGTTTTTGAAGATTTCGCAGTTGATGGATTTATTGTATTTGATTGTGTGGAATAATTTCTTGATTGTGAATTCAAAGCGATAGAATTTCTAAAAGAACCTATGCAAAAAAAAATAATAATTTCATCAATTGAGAATGTAAAAAAAAACAAAACTAAATTAGAATAATTTTAATATTAGAACAATAATATTATATTAGTTTTCTAAATTCTTAATAAATTAAGTGCGTGAAAAATTTGAGATAAACAGAGGTAATTATATGTAAAATAGCAGGAAACTCATTATAAAATTAAATGAGATATTCAATTTTTTTTTTTTTATTAATACAAAATTTTAAAATACAATCTTTAGATAAAAATTATAAAAAAATTCACACGAATTATTGAGATAATAGATACATTAAAAATGTAATTGTCATTTTTAATTTATCAATTTGTGAAAAAGATTCAAATTAATTAATTATTTTCGAAACGAACCATTTTTTTTATTCTGTTTTAAAAGTTGACATTTGTAATGTGACTTTTGCATATCATCAGCAATGTATTTTTCATCACGAGCCCATTGTCCACCTGGCATATTTAAATAATTTGATTTTCCAGTGGAATTAAATGGTTTTGGCACATTTGTTTGCATGGAACTGTTTAAACTAACAGTTCCAAAACAATCGTACGATGCCACATGTAAATCGAGATTTATTATTTTCGATGAATTTGAAAATTGTTTAACATCAGTTGAACTATAAATATCGCGAATTCTTTCTGGAGTAAAACGACTTGTTTCATTGGCAAAAATTTCCGAGACATTCATCGGTAAACGTAAAATTGGAGCTTCTGGATATTTATTAACTTTAGAAATATGAAATCCTTTTTTCATTGTTTCATTTTCTCCGTAGAATGTTGCTGAAATTTAATTTATATTGTCATAAATGCTTTAAAAAAAAAAAAACGAATAAGCATTTTTAAGAAAAATGAAAAAAAAACAAATTTATACAAGTTATATCAATTTTTTTTTAAGACGACTCATTTATTATGTGTAATAATAATAATTAATAGTCACATTTGACAGTTGCGTGTTTGACGAAATAACCCCAACTCATCGAATTAGATAAGTTTTGACAATTTCCAATTCTTGATAAAGCCATCATTCTGAATTTAAATGATTTTATTAATTATGCGATTTTGATGAATTCCACAAAATTTTCTGATAAAAAACACACTATAAGAAATTCAGGAACATTCTGTCAGAAATTAAAACCTTGTCCACAATATTTATATATGTTTGAGAAACAAACCTGTTTGACAAGTGACCGTGACCTTGAATTAATATAATTATGTAAAAAAAAATTCATCAAATTTGTATCCAAACAATTATAAATGCTTCTTCACTATACACTATTTAGTTCATTGATATGAAAATACATATTCACTGTTCAAGTTTTAATATTAAAGGTTAAAATATATATATATATATAACAATTGGAAAAGAAGGAAAACTTGTTGTTTTTCTTGTATAAAATAAAATAAATAAAGATTTTTCCTAAAAAGCAATGTGGAGAATGAACCTGAAGTGAACTGAAAATCGGTGCATTTTGTAAAACATTTCTACCAACTTTGGAAAAACTATACATTTGAAAAAAGAGAAAAGATTTCACTATTATTAAAATTTTCATTATATAAAATTCAAAAAAATCATGTTTCATAATTAAATAGTGTTTTTTTCTATTTGAAATAAATTTTTATTTTGTATTTAAAATTTTTATTCAAAATGTAATTATAATGTTGGCTAACTTGCAATGATGAGTAGCGTTCCTAACCTAGAAAAGTCTATGCAGAAAACGTGCGGGAAAATATATGTTTTATTATACTGTTATTAATATTCGATTATTATTATAAATAAAGTTGTCATTTATGGTTTACAATAATTATTAAACAATATAATGACTGCAAACTCGTACAGAAATCAAATATTGTTTAATTTATTCTACTTTGTGTGACAAATCTCAATTTGCAACGATTTCTTTTCTTGAAATTGAGGTTTAGATAAATAGGTAAGTTAACTAAATAATTTATTATTTAATTACTATTATATACTTTATTTACTTAAATAACTACTTATTAACCTAAATATACATTTTAAGATTGTTTGGTAATTTAACCTAAAAAGATTCGATTGCGTTATTAATCGAGAAAAAGAGCAATGAACATCATAGAATGTTTATCACGTCCAGAAATTGGTATTTTACGAAGAATTGTTTACAAATTGACAATATGGATAAATCCAATAATTTCATCAACAGAAATGCATTTTTCACATTCTCAAATGCGATATTTGCACAAAACAAAAAAATTACTTTCTACTGCAACAAATGACTCGAAAGATGTTATTTCAGATAGAAAAGAAAAATTCAAGGATAAGTTATCACTAAAAAATTTTATGACACGACCAATTATGAAAACTGAATCAATTCCATATTTAAAAAAAATTGACGGTGACAATAAAAAAGGTAGAATAGCAATTTAATTTTAATTTAATAAATTTAATTTTATATTTTAAAAATTTTATTATCTTTTATTTCTTCTTTCTATTTTATTTAATATATATATATATATTGTTTTTATAATTTTCCTATATAGTTTATTTAGAAATTTTTGGATGTCAAATGAATGTAAATGATGGAGAAATAATATTGGCAATTTTGAAAAAAAATGGTTATAAATTTACAAAAGTAGTAGATGAAGCCGACATTATTTTGATTCTTACGTGTTCAATACGTTCCAATGCTGAGTTAAAAATTATTCACAAACTCAAAGACTATAGATATTTATTAAATAAGAAAAAAGCCATGGGAATTTCCGAACATCCAAAAATTGGACTTTTAGGTAAATTTATCATTTTTTGTTTATTTTATATTTTTTCTAGTTTCAAGTGATAATAATTATAATTGTCTCAAAGAAGAAGGAAAATAATAATAAAAAAAAAAACAATTTACAGGTTGTATGGCTGAACGTTTAAAATTTAAACTTCTTGAGAGAGATCGTTTAGTTGATATTGTGGCTGGTCCTGACAGTTATAAAGATCTACCAAGATTATTGGCAATTGCTAATGATAGTGAAACGGCAATTAATGTAATTTTATCAGCTGACGAAACTTATGCTGATATTACTCCAGTTAGATTAAATCCAGATTCTATTTCTGCCTTTGTGTAAATTATATATTTGATTTAATTTTAATTTTAAAATTAAAAATGTGTTTAATAAACTTCTTTTTTTTCTATCTTCACAGAACTATTATGAGAGGTTGTGACAATATGTGTACTTATTGTATTGTTCCATTCACACGTGGAAGGGAAAGATCACGATCAATAAATAGCATTGAAGATGAAATTAGAAATTTATCAAATGAGAATGTAAAAGAAATTATTCTCCTTGGACAAAATGTTAATAGTTATTTGGATTCTATTGTACATTCTACTAGTGTTAATAATACCCAATTGTCAAAAGGTTTCACTACAGTTTACAAAAGTAAACAAGGAGGATTAAGATTTTACGATCTTTTGGATAGAGTATCGTTAATCAATCCTGAAATCAGAATAAGGTATCTTTTTTTTTTTTAATTTATTACTAAAATGTTTAATATAAATTTAATAAGTTTTAAGTATTTTTTTTAATAAAAAAATATTTTACATTTTTTACTGTAAAAAAAAATAATTACAGATTTACATCACCACATCCAAAAGATTTTCCCGATTCTGTGTTGCAATTAATAGCTGAAAGGCCAAATATTTGTAAAAGTCTTCATTTACCGGCGCAAAGTGGAAATTCAGATGTTTTAAAGAGAATGCGACGTGGTTACACAAAAGAATCATATTTGGAATTAATTGAAAATGTGCGAAATATTATTCCAAATTGTTATATATCCAGTGATTTTATTGTTGGATTTTGTGGTGAAACAGATAGTGAATTTGAGGACACAATTTCACTTATGGAATTAGTTAAATATAATAACGCTTATTTATTTCCATACAGTATGCGTGAGGTTAGTTGATATTTTAAAATAATAATTTATTAAATTCTTTAATAAAAATTTAATTTCCTTTTTTTTTTAGAAAACTGCTGCTCATCGACGTTACGAAGATGATGTTAGTCCAGAAGTGAAAAAATTGCGTATGATTAGAATAACCGAGGTTTATCGACGTGAAGTGGAAAAATTGAATACAGCTCAAATTGGTCAACAACAACTTATTTTAATCGAAGGAGTGAGTAACTTTTTTTTTTATTTTTTAATTCAAAATTTAAATAATTAAAAAAATATTTAAATTTTTTTTAAAAATTATTCTAGTCGAGCAAAAAGAATTCAGATCAACTTGTGGGACGAAATGATGGTAACATACGTGTGATTATTCCCAATTCTCATGTGGAGGAGAATAAAAATTCATCCACTAAAAGACAAATAGTTCCAGGCGATTATGTAGTTGTACAAATTGTCAATGCAAATTCTCAAACTCTCAGGGGCGATCCTCTTTATATATCAACATTAGTGGACTTTGAACAACAAAAGAAGTAAACTATGAAAAAAATAAAAGAATCCCCATTTGTAAATAAGGTATTGATTAATTAATTTAAATGAAAATATACTGTACATGGAAATTTATATTCCGTTTTTGAATAAAATTTTAATCATTTGTTAATATTGTAAAGTTACAGAATGAATCCTAGAATGATGAGGATGTTGAGGAGGATGATGATAATGAAAATTATTTTAATGGTGATTATTTAATTTTTTTTTTTGCATGAAAATATACAAAAGTTTATTTTGATTATTTTTTTACATTATTAATTGTTTAAAAAAGAAACTGCTATACAATTATTATGTTGTCTTTGGAAACATCGGAGGGACACATAGAAAAATATATTTAGACTAAGCTCGCGGTGCCTATGTTAATAACAACGTTGTCAACTCCTCGTTCATAAACCGTCAGGTCGTGACCTCGTGGTTGTTCGAGCAAGGCAGCAAGTTGTTCTCCACTAGGAAATGATCCTTGTGGCAGGATAACATCGCATTCTAATTGACCTACAACATAAAATTGAAATATTTCATTTTATACATTACAAATTTTTTTTTGTTTTTTTAGAACACAGTGGCTGGAAGACAATGTCGAGTCTAAGGATTTAAAACCTCAGTTTATTTACACAATCGAATTATGGTTTCACAATAACATAAAGGTAAGAATATTTTTTAATTTGCGATATTAGAAAAGAGGAAATTAAAATAGAAGAAATAAAATAATCGGATATTATTAACGATGACCTTGGGAGTAAATCTCACCTGACAAAGAAGGAGATGCTCCTTTACTGGATCCATACATCCGTGTACTGTAGCCAGAATCATTATGCGCGTCGTGCAACGGAGGAGTTGGACTGTATACGGCATTGCGCGATCTGTATGGCATCTGGGCTATCGTGTCGTAGGGTACATTCTCGGACATTATTCCTTTAACTCCGTTCATTGGTCCCGGTTGTTCCTCGTCATCATCGGCTTCACTGCTCTCACTATCGTTACCTTTAATTCAACAATTTCACACTTTTATTTCAGATATTTTCAAAAATATTTTTCATTGTAAATTTTTAAAAATACATACCATTTTCACGATGCCAACCATTGGTCATTCCATTTTGTGATTGTATTCTTTGACTTGGTGAACATGGACTACGATTTGGACTTGTTGGCTCGCTACTTCCTGTTAAATCCCGTTTACTTCTACCATTGTGCATTCCAGAAACTTGTTGAAATCTTTTAATCATCTCGTGTACACTACGTCGTTTAGGTGAAGTTTTCCAATTTTCAAAATTTTCATCTAACTCATGACTCGATACAAGTTCATTGGACATGGATATCTGATGTTGCAATACCTGCTGTCGCAAACTAACTGAAGGTGAAGAAGCAACTCCCAATGGTGATGAACGATCACCCCTTCTAATTACCCCATCAAAAGTTTCATTAAGCCTGGCGGGAATATCTAATACTCTTAAAATTGGTCTCGATGATCCTGTTAATGACGGTAGATCCTTCATTGATTTGCTGAGCCTTGGTATTGCCGGTATATCCAAATCATCAAGACTACCACGATGAATATCGCCTGGAATTTCAAAACTACGATCGTGCGGCCTTTCATCCAATAGATCTTCCAACGATCTTGCACGTGCTGGTGGATTTTGTTCATCCATTGAATTTTGCCTTATTGGTCTCTCGCTATGTCTACCTTTACCGCCTCGCAACAATCTTTGTTGAATGTGTGTATGCCTCTCATCACACCTTGAACGTTCGACAGCCACACATCTTGTTAATTCTGATATCTGTCCACGTGTTCGTTTTTCCAAATTGGCGACCTTGAGATCAAGTCGCTCATGTGCTTGATCGATGTGAGCCTTTAATTCAGCTTTATCCCTTTCAAGTTTAGCCTCCATGTGTCGAAAGAATGGTGCACAATAGCAGGTGTAACCAACGCCCACTGGTCCTTTTCTGATGTTACCCGCGAGATCAAGATAATATTGTTCGCCACGACCAAGTGGATCCGATGGTAAAGAATCAAGACGTGGTTGGGGAAATGCTTCTGGATCGGGATAATAATGACAACCGTACGGTGACCATTCACGACCCATCATTGTTTTTTCAAAATGTACCTTATGTTGTTTTCCACCTTTCAGTTTCTTTTTCTCCTTTTTTGAACCACTATCCCTACTTCCACTTGTTCCACTTCCATTTTTTTCCCGTTTCTTTTCACCTTTACCATTTGCTTTCCCATCTACTTTGTCAATAGACTGTTGTTGTTGTTGTTCGCCCTCGCGACTCTTACTACGTGCACGACTTTTGCTACGTGCTTTATTGATTATTTCCAATATTTCCGAAAGATTTTTTCTTTTCGCTATATCCTTGGCTGTTTCGCTTTGCTTATTACGTAGGGATCTATCGCAACCGGCTTCTAAAAGAATTCGGGTCAATTTCCTTCGACCCATTGCCGCTGCAATGTGTAGTGCAGTGTCTCCATTCTGTAACAAATTTTTCATATGGTAAAAAGAAGGTACTATTTTAAGGTCAGAAATAGGTTTTATAATTTAAGATGCAAGTTTTTACAATCTGTTAAGGCCTAAGTAGAATTAATTCTTGAATGGGAACGCAATCATCAACGGAAATGTAAGAATGAGTAGGATAGCAAACATCTTTATTCTTCTCTCAGGTTGGTTCCACAATAGGCAAAATCGTATCGTCTTGAAGACGATTTTCAATAAGACAAAACAATGCCCGCGTCTATATTTTCCATATGGTTGTGAATCGTTTGATCTTGAAAATCGTCTTTAAGACGGTACGATTTAGCCTATTGTGAAACCAATCTTACGTTTCCGTTCACGAACGGACGTTTCATGAAGCTTCGAAAGAAATCTATTTCTAATCTGTAATTAGTCCGAAACAGTCCGATTTATTGTCAGGTTTTTGTCATTCGGAAATTAGTCCGATTAAATTCGAAATTTGCCCGATTTGTGCAACTATAGTCAATTTGGAATTAATCAGGTCTAATCCGAAGTTAGTTCCATCAAACGTAACTAGTGAATGCAGATTCTTACTGATTACACAGGCCGGATTAATTTCGGATTCAATCGAAGTAATTTTGCATTTATTAGTTGTGAATGATCCAATTAATTTCGGATTAATATTTTTTACCAGATTAAATCAAGATTATTGTGGAATAATACCGAATATTCCGCATATATAAAGATTTCAGATGATTACGGACTCATGTCGGATTTAGTTTTTTGACAGTATATATAGTTAATCCGAATTGTTGCGTACTGTTTACATATACAAATTGTGGATTATTTTTTGATCTAACTAAAATCAAATTGTTGTGGGCTAATTGCGGATTTATTTCATGTCAATTTCGAACTATTCCAGATGGATGTATTTATATTTTCATGCAGACTGATTGCTGACTAATACAGATTATTTTCGAATTGTTTTTATACAATTTTTGAACTAATCCGAACTGATTTGTCTGTATTTAATCTGAAATCAGTCCAAAATTTTAACCAGGGCTTAGATTTTTTTTAAACTGTAATTGGGAGATTTGGAATTAGGAGAGATTATCGAACTTACTTTATTTTGTTCTGAAACACGACAGAGAGCGGAAATTAGTATTCGTGTGACGCCCGCGTGACCATAACGTGCAGATGTATGAAGTGGTGTGTCTCCATACTGAAAAGAGAAAATAAAATACAATTGAGCTGCCGGATCAAAGAAGGGCACATAAATTTGTCTCACTGGAAAACGTTGGCCCCTGGCCACTTGAAATTCAACTTTTGATTTTTAATATTTGTTATACATATCCTTATAGGAAATTTGATTGCGCATCTTTTTTTCTAATGAAATTTTCTTCCATCTATTACCGTTTTCGAAATATTCAAGAAAAACCGTTTTTTTGAAAACGTCAAATTTAATTAAATTTTTAACTTCAACTCAAGATATTTCAGTCAATTTTGCATATTTTTCAATGAAACAAAAACGAAAATACGCGTTATTATATTCTACGAGTGACTAAGAAAGAAAAAAGCTGTTTTGATTATAAATAAAAAAGTTATTAATTTTTTATTGAGGCATTGCAAAATTCCTGAACTGTAAATTTCACCATGCGGGGAAGTCTGGCAAATTTTGAGTGACAAAAAACTTCCAGTGAGAAAGTTGTTCATAAGGGTCTAAAAAAGTTTTCTGGAAAGTTACATTGCAAATAAATAATTAGTAACAAAATTATGAACGTTTAAAGTTGCGCGAGCGGCTGAACTGATTATAAGTATCACTATTATAGTGATACGCTCAGTCGAACTTATTATGGTAGCAAACGCACGGCAAAAGTTCAGCCGCTCGCGCAACTTTAAACGTTCATAATGTTGTTACTAATTATTTATTTGCAATGTAACTTTCCAGAAAACTTTTTTAGACCCTTATGAACAACTTTCTCACTGGAAGTTTTTTGTCACTCAAAATTTGCCAGACTTCCCCGCATGGTGAAATTTACAGTTCAGGAATTTTGCAATGCCTCAATAAAAAATTAATAACTTTTTTATTTATAATCAAAACAGCTTTTTTCTTTCTTAGTCACTCGTAGAATATAATAACGCGTATTTTCGTTTTTGTTTCATTGAAAAATATGCAAAATTGACTGAAATATCTTGAGTTGAAGTTAAAAATTTAATTAAATTTGACGTTTTCAAAAAAACGGTTTTTCTTGAATATTTCGAAAACGGTAATAGATGGAAGAAAATTTCATTAGAAAAAAAGATGCGCAATCAAATTTCCTATAAGGATATGTATAACAAATATTAAAAATCAAAAGTTGAATTTCAAGTGGCCAGGGGCCAACGTTTTCCAGTGAGACAAATTTATGTGCCCTTCTTTGATCCGGCAGCTCAATTATAGAAACACTGTTATTCATAATAAAGGATTTCGTGACTTCTTTTGGTATAGAAACTGGCAATGAAAAAGGATGGTAGAGGTTTAAAATTTTACTGCTTTTGTAAGGCAACGAAAGTGTTAATTATTTATGGTTACGTTTTGTGAGTTCCTGAAATGTTGCGCGAAGATACCGGTTTTTCAACGTGGAGTTTTAGTTCAACGTACATTATTCTGAAGGTCGGGGTTACATCCAGCTAAGAGAAGTTCCCGACAGCTTTGGTTGTGTCCGTTTTGGCAGGCCAAGTGAAGTGGCGCAAATCCAGCGAGATTTCTCGCGTGCAATGGTGCACGCTGTGTCCCAAGGGCCTTCGCCAATACAGCAACAGTTCGACTATAGCCTCGCCATGAAACTTCATGTAACGCTGAGTTCCCATGCTGAAACATGCATACAAATCGACATTGAATCATTTCATTGCTCATATTTCCATTCTACATTTATTTATATTTATCAAATCAAAAATTTGCTCAGGTATTAAAAGGACGAGAAGAAAAAAAGAGATATTAGAAGGTAGAGTAATTAGTATTGCGGTAGGTAATAATGAAACTCATCAAACATTCGTTTTGCTAATTGTTCAATTAGGTGTAAAAGAGAGAGAGTTATCAATCGCGTGAATTTATTAAAAGTATCCGTTGGGTCAACCGGTCTTGAATATCGCGTGTTCGTCTTTTACACGATCATTCCATACAGAAGCTGTGAAAGGATATATATACGAAAATGCAACATGGCACTTTCCTGGTGCTGGTTATCGGTAGTTGCATATCGGCAACTCTGTTACCAACGTTCGGCATTAATGACGTTTGTTGCCGTTATCATAAGGGAGTCTCCCTTTTTTCCTCATCCCTGTTCCTATATAGTAATTTATCACCGACGAACCCTTCGAACCGGTTGTTGTGCACAAACTATAACCTGGAATCAATTGCTGCTTTAAATATATATGTGTTCGAAGAAAATCCAATCCAAATACAAATGGGTTTTTTAAAAGTTCAAAAAATAGTATATGTTATTGACCTTTTTGATTTTATTTAAAAAAAATCTCTTCCTTGAGGGATTAACTGTTATTTTTCTTTTGAAAAAAAAAACTAACTTGTCAATCGAGATTATATTACAATCATTGGTCGTTAATCAAGTTTATCGGGCTTTAGGCGCATTTAATGTGTGATAGTAGGGAAAAATTTTATAAGGAGATAATCTTCTGCATTATTTTAGAACCTAGCGTGCACACTCCAATTCTCTACAGTCTTTTAGCCTCTGGTCAAATTATTACGTTCATGTATACGGACAGGGTACTTTCAGTATTAGTCAGCTGTTTGTTGTGCATGCATGATGTTGATTTGTGAAGCATCTACACTTTCTTTTTATGATATAGAATTTTTTTTTTTGGAGAGAAATATTTTTCATTTCATAGAGAAATATTATTTAGAATATATATTAATTGAAATAAATAGAAATGGAAGATTTGATCTTGAATCAAGATTTTTCAGTTACGTCCTGTTAGCTGCAGCTAACAATAGTTATTATTTCTGAAACATTGTAAAAAAAATTATTTTTAAGTATATTCTCATCTTGCGGCAATGGTCACCAATTTGCCGGCAATGTCCTGGGGCGTGAGACAACGACCAATATATGAGGGAATTGAGTATCAAACCCACGTATCGGTTCCACGCAGTGTGACGTGGATGATCTCTTGGCTGTTAGTTTCTTTATTTTTAGCTGTCTCATATATGTGCTGCATTCTTGTTGGGAATTTCTTTTTTTTTCTCATTGACCAAGAAGGTGCGATCACGATCCTTTCCTAAGGGTCGGCACGTTTGCCTGTGGGCTCACAAGACGTAATTCTATATCTCTTCGCAGGAGATACAGGTCATATAATGATCTTCCTGTTTCTGGAAATATTTTTAAATTTTCTTTTCTCACTTTTTCAAGTGTTTCAAAAATTTTTAATTAAAATGTTAGTAGAGGAATTTGAGTCGAATATTGAAAGACCAGGAAGGCGAGGACTTCTTCGTGAATAGGTTTGTAATCAGGAACGCGAGGGTGATCTTATCTTGCCAGTTGACTATCCTTTAACGCTCGTATGTTAACCAAAGAGTCACACCATATTTTCTCTCTGATATAAACAGGATGCTATTTGTACTGGAGCATCAGTTTATTGTGCAATAAAAAAAAAATGATATTTTTTAATTTATTAACCGCAATGTATAGAGAACATCGAGATTAGATTTAATAGCTTGATAATAAAATTAAAGTATTATAATTTAGATTCCTTTACTATTTTTTAGATATTATTACTATTTTCCCTATATTATACTAATCTGATATTTTTTTTCAGAATTTCAAAAACATTTCGGATTTAAAGTGCGTCAAAGTACCGCATTTTGTGTATAGTGCGTAAGGTTGCAGAAGCTCTGTGCGGAGACACAGGCCGGATGCCGCCGTCGGGATGCAGAAAGACCGCAAGGAAATCGTTAAAGTGAGAATAGGCTGTAGATATATATCGTATGGCTCGGAAGAATTCAAAGTGTATTTCTCCAACATTGTGTGTGTTACATACACCGGATAGAAGTTTTACCGTGAACTATAAGGAACCCGTTTCACAGATAAAAAAATAATCGTAAGTTCCGTTAATTCGAAAATATTAATTTAATATATTACAATTTATATTCTTCCGCAGTTTTATTAATTCTTTAAATTTTATTTTCCAGTGAGAATCATCAGATGATGAGGAAAAATTCGGAATCATTGACAGAAAGGACTTTGCTGATTTGGGGTGAGTAATAGTTAAAGAGGTTTTTTAATAAAAAATCTGAGCAAATAAACCATTCTTTCATTGCGAATAACAAATCATCAAACTGTATAGTTAAATTAAATTTAATAATGACGAAACTGGTTCAGCTTATATAAATCACAAAGTAAGAAAGTTGTCTTTCTATAATGTAAATGTCTATAATTTACTCGCATTTTTTACTTTTATCGATTTAAGAATAGATTATTGCAAAGCAGATTTAGGTTACAATGGTAATTTCTTCTGTTTTCTTTGCATATATATATATATATTATGTGTTCCATTTTAATAGAAGTCTATTTCAAATTGAAAAAAAAAATTTTTAGTGAGATTTTATCCAAGTTTAATTCTTTAAGCATCCGCCTTATAATTCCGCTTTGAACGTGTCGAGACGATTATAGCATTTTCACGCCTGGAGATCAACATTGTGGTTGAGGCAAAGTGTACATGATATCAAAGCGAATTGATATCGATCGAAATTATCTGCAATCGCAGTGAACACTCAGTCGAGGTATATATTGCGTTCATGCTGATCGCATTTGATCATTTGAATAAACTATTCCACACTTGAAACGGTGCATTTCTATATTGGTCATTCTCTTTCAGTCGAGAAAAAAAGAAAGATTCTTCAATTAATAATTCTTATTGATGATAGATTAATTAAGTTATTTCAATGGATTTTTATACTCGTAATGGCATCCAAAATCTTCATCATAAAATTCGTTAGGCAATTAATATCGCGGAATTCGATTAATTATATTTCTTATCTGAGGATCCAGAAATGTAATTATTTTCTAAAATGACATATAGAAATTACCATTGAGAAAAATTGAAATTCAATTTACAGGATAAATGAGATGAAGTTATATTTAAAAAAAAAGAAGAAAGTGTAAGAATCGAAAGGAAATAAAACAAAGGAAAATAGTTTCCTATAAATCTAGCACTTGGAGGATGTCTTGTTGTATATTTGCTCGTAGTAAAGCTTTCCTGTCCATCTAATCGAGTAAAACCGGCTATCGAGATCGCATGGCGGGTCGAGATCGATGAAGAAAAAGCGGAAGAGCCAATGAGAGCTGAGGTGGTAAGGCCCGAAGATATTTCTTTGCAAAAACTAGAAAATTCGTCGTATTCAATGCAATATCTATGAGTATGGAATGATTTTTTAGTTTTTTTTTTTTTTGCCTTCACTGTCGGTACATGTGTGTATCTCCATTGCTGAACAACATCGATTAGTTTACTTTTTAATTCTCTTTTAATTACTTTGTAATCGAGACTTATATCAAGAACGAACTTGTTCTTTTTTACACCAACAAATAATAGAAACATTTTCGCATTGATAATATTTTTCGAAAAAAAATTAATTTTGAATATTAAATGTTTTAACAAAATTAATTAGAAAAGTATATTCTGGAATATATAAAGGATTGTAATATCTTATAAAAGACTTTCATAGGTTGAACTTTCTCATTTGCCTACACAATGGGCAAGGATCATGGATCATCGACGAAGGGGGAAAATATTTTTTGAACCTCGAAGGATGATAATAGCGGGAGGCAACCACGCCTATAACCACTTTGCCTGTGGTTAGTTCATGTTATGTATTCTCAAAAGGACGAATGGATAGACATACTTATATATACTCATATTCAGATAGAACTTTTCCGGTTCTAAATCATGACGAAGTGCTGGTATTGTTGCTGTCGACGTTTTCACGTGGTTTGCCGTCAAAACTCCAAGTATTCCTTTTCATGCTGATGATGCTTAGATTTACAAGAACTTGAGAATATACGATTGTGATGTTTCTATATAATGTGAACCTCAACCTCTTCTTTAACAAGATTCATTCAATGTTAATGGTATACATTGAAATATGAAAAGGTGATTCCATTTGATGTATTTATAAATTAGCTATAAAAAAAAAAGTCATTTAGAGGGGGAAAATTTTGATAGAATAAGAATTCTCTCACAAAAAATTTTGTATATATTTGATTATAATGATTGAATCAATCGAGATTTAATAATCGATTATATAATTTTGAATAGCATACTTTTTTTTTGTGTGAAAAAAATTAATGCCATAGGTGTGTATTCTACTTTTTTAAGACATATATCGCGATTTTGACATAAAGGAGCTATTTATTTGGATTTAATCCTCTTATCCTATATGTCAATTAACGGATTTGCTATTCGTGAATTAGAAACGCTTCAAGCGTAACTGAAGATATACATATTTCTTGAATGAAGCTGATTCGTTGAAATATTGAGTTTTGCCTATAACGAAGAAAGTGATTGATGACTTACATGTCTTTTTAATGCGAGTCTAATCTCTCGAGAACATGCGAGAGATTCGATTTCTCTTCTTTATATTATATATCCTTTAAGTGACCACCGTAAGGATTTGTTCATAATATTTTTTATCAACAAATAATCTTCCTTTTTTTCCTTGAATATCACCGTGGAATATTCCCATGATTTTACAGAAAAATCAAAATGTCCGCATCATGGGACTATTCCACAGTGACATTCAGGGTATATTCCAGTGACATTGAGGGTAATATTACAGGAATATTCCAGTGATATTGAGGGAATATTCCACGGTTATATATTGAATTTTTTTTTAAGTGTTGAAATAATATCCCAAGAAGCACGTAATATAACCTCAATATCAAGGTAATATTACATGTAAGATTCGTAATATAACGTTGTAATATTACAGTAATCTTACAGTGATCTTAAAATGTCCGCCTCAAGGTAATATTACCGGTAATGTTACTGCAATATTAGGCGCTAATATTAAGGTAATATTACAGTAATATTGCAGTAATATTACAGTAATTTTGCAGTAATATTATACCGTAATATTAAGGTAATATTACAAGAGAATATTACAGTAATATTATGGGAACATTTCTTTATGAAAAAAATCTACCCATCCAGGGAATCGAACCCCGAACTCAAAGCACACGAGTCCAGAGTTTTACCAACAAGCCAAATTGACTTATAATATATTTACGTTTTTTATGCTTTATGAATAACTCAAATCAGTCTGTAATATTACTGTAATATTACCGTTAATATTACAGTAATATTCCTGGTAATATTACCTTGAGGCGGACATTTTAAGATTACTGTAAGATTACTGTAATATTACAGCGTTATATTACGAATCTCACGTGTAATATTACCTTGATATTGAGGATATATTACGTGCTTCTTGGGATGTTATAAATTGTTATTTGAATAAGCAGGAAGATTAAAAACACATTTTAAAAAAAATTCAATGTAACCGTGGAATATTCCCTCATTATATCACTGGAATATTTCCACAATATCACCTAAATATCCCCTTAATGTCACTGGAATATTCCCTCAATGTCACTGGAATATACCCTGAATGTCACTATAGAATATTCCCATGATGCGGACATTTTGATTTTTCCAGAAGATCATGAGAATATTCCTCTCTGTGGTATTCAACGGATATTCAGGGAATATACCGTGCTCCTTGGGTTTGGATATATTTTAATTTTATATTTTAAAATTAAAACATCCGAGTTTAATTTGAAAAAAAAGAATTTAAAATTCTTTATCTCACATACCAATAGGTAACTTTGTTGAGATTAGCGTATTGTTATTATTATGTCTGAGTGCCACTGGCAAAGGCAATTTCACATTTTACGATAGTAGTTATTGACTGAGCGTTTAATATTAAAAAAAAATATATTACTTTTTAAATAATTAATTTTATACCTTTTTTGTTTTTAATTGAAGATGTATTTTATTTAATGGTAAAGAAAAATATTTTTACCTTTTCTTGTTTAAAAAATAAGTTTTTGTGAATACTAGTGCGCATGTGTTCGTAAAAGCATATGGAATGCGTCATTGACGGTCATTTCTTTGTTTTCGCTTCTTGGTTTCATACTTATATTTCAGTGTGTACAAGAAATTAATATCGTAAGGAGAGAAAGAAAATTATAAAGTAAGTATAAAAATATTTTAACTAATATTAATAATTATTTTAATATTATTGAGAAAAGAAATTTTTAAATATTCTGTGCATGTATTAGTTGGGAATCACCGAATTCTCTCCTCTTATAAAACAAACTCTTTTTTCATCATTATCTCATTTCTTTTGTTATATAAACAAAATTATTTATATTTGTTAATTCATTGTTTAAATTTCTTATTGTATTATTGTAATAAATCTATTTTTTTAAATTTTATCTATATATAACACGTTTATTTTAAGGTTATATATTTTTATGTATAAAAGAAAATTGATCGCCGAATTTATTTTCATTATTATTTTCTCTATTTATATAGGTAATTTCTATTATAAAAAAAAAAGAAAAATGGAAACTGACGCTCGTCCACCACAAAAATTATCAAGCACCGGAAATTTGGCTACCAATTGGAAAAGATGGAGAAAAGAATTTAACACATATATGATCATCACTAAGGGTTATAATAAACCTCAAGAGGAACAAGTTGCTTGGTTGGAAAATTTGATTGGACCCATTGGATTAAAAGCTCTCGAAAAAATAACCTTTAATAATCATAATGATGAAATGACAATTTCTATTGTTCTTGAAAAATTGGATCAGTTTTTTAATCCTGCAAAAAATGAAATTGAAGAAAGATATAAATTTTTTTCAAAAACAAAAAAAGGAAACGAGTCCATTGATACATTCATTCGTGATTTAACAGTAAGATTTAGTTTTTATTATTTATTAGATATTCGTTTTTATTTTAATATTTCAATATTTTCTAATTTTTCAATAATTTTTCATTTCAGGATTTAGCAAAATCTTGTAATTTTGGCGAACAAATGGAGAATTTAATTCGTGATGCTGTGATTCTTGATATAAAAGACAATAATCTTCGAAAACTTTTATTTGAGGAGAAAATGTTAACAATTGAAAAATTGAAAGTAATTTATAAAACATATGAAATTAATTCGGAAAAAATAAAAGGTGTATCTAAATTGTTGGCAAAAACAACAGATGAAACAAAAACTGTTATTCCAAATATTAGAAGGCCAAGATCATTATCAAGAAGACCATTATTGTCGAAAAATTATCCTCCAAAAAATTTCACAAAAGGATGTTGGAAATGTGGACAAGTTCATCCAATAAAATCTTGTCCTGCTTTTAAATCCATATGCATTTATTGTGATCAAATAAATCATTTTTCAAATCGTTGTCCTATTGCGAAACTGGATGAAATTCAAATTACATCAAAAACAGAGGTAAGTTAGTTTATAATAAATAATATTCAAATATTTGTGAAAAGATATTTTTTTTTTTTTATTGTTTCGTTTTATTTTTTTAGCCTTCAGTTAATAAAACCATTTCTAAATCAACGGAAGATATTACTGAAGCTGAAGTATAAAAAAGGAATCTTTTTTACTATTTTAATTTAATGTTTTATTTCATTTAATCGTATTTATAAAAAAGTTCATTTGTTTTTTTTTAATTTCTTTTTCCGAGGAGAGATCTCCTTAATAAACTTGATAAAATGTAAACGAATAAATCAAGTTGTTAACATCTTTAAATGAAAAATATTTTCAATATTCAGATATATTTTAAAGTATATATATATATATAAAAGTATTATGTACAAATGATCTTATAAACATTTAACAATTATTAAATAAAGAGTTTTTTAAAATAACTTGTGTTTTTCTTTAACCCAAGTATACTGAAAAAAAAATTTATTTGATTCAAATACCGGTGTATTTGGTTATTATCAAATAAATATTTACTTGAATCAAATATTTCTTATTTGAATCAAATATATAATATTTGAATTAAATATTTCAGTATTTGAATCAAATACCATTTATTTGATTCAAATAAATATTTGATTCAAGTAAATATTTATTTGATAATAACCAAATACACCGGTATTTGAATCAAATAAATTTGTTTTTCAGTATAGAATGTAATATTAAAGGTTTTTTTTTTTAAATTTGTTAAAATCTTTTTTAAAGTCCTTTTTTATGTGCTACTTGGGAATATATTTTTTACTCCTTTATTTATTATGTAAATTATTTTCAGTTTTAAATTGTGAATATAAATAACATGGAAACATTTAATTTTTTTACGAACATATTTGCAAGCGATCTTATAATGTAGCGAGTGATCATTCGGTAGCAAACAATATAAGAAGCTGTGCGAGGGTATATATCTATACAATTGCAGAAGGGTGCTACTTAGATATCAAAGAGGGAACCTCAAAGAAACCTGAGAAGCTGAATGTATGTAGCTTGATACACACAATGGTTGTGTGGTGCTAAGAATATCATTTGAATTTCCGCGAGGATTTAAAAAAAAAAAAAAAAAAAAAATTCTGAACAATATAACTAGATTTCTATCGTTCGTAATGTAGGGTCCTAAGAAATTGTTTTTTTAGAGATAACAATTACATTTTATAGTTTAAATGTTTCATTTATCAAATTCTAAATATTTTTGCATTTTTGATTTTCAGTAAAGTCGTGCTTCCAACAATGGAAACAATTTCAACAATGGAATTCTTTTCGGGGTTGTAGTATGCGGCATCAGATGATTCTTAAATCCGGATTTCCACATTTTGGAGGTGATTACAAATTATGGTAAGTAAATTTTTCTATAATAGTTTAATGTTTAAATGTTGATAAAAAAAAATAGTTGATTTTTTGAAAAATTGTTTGCAAAATATTTAAGTAAAGAGAAGTGCGTTGAGTTGACGATAAAATATGCCAAGGAATGTAATAAGCCTTGAACCGGGACCCTGAGACTTGTTATAGGTTATATGTATAGTCCCTTCAAGTCTGGTTCACACCCTTCACAACATCTCACGTAGAGGAGATTTTGCAAAAAAAAAAAAAAATCCTCAAAGGCAAAAAATGTTAGTTTATATTTAGGTAATACTTTTAGATAAATTTTATCTAATATTTCAAGAATATTTTTTTCACATTTTGTTTGTTGATTTATTTTTAAGAGAAAATTTCTTCATAATATCCGCATGTGCTCGCTAATGATCTTCACGCGTTTAAATTATAGTTGTATTGTAGCAATTAAATGACATTCAAGAAATTCAAGCAACTGTGTAAAATCATAAACCGATTCAATTTAGGACTAGATATTAAGTGATTAAATAATAAACATATATACTTGGAATCATAAAATGAGGCTTGCGCGGAGATCATAAACGATAAAGTTGTAAAAAAAAAAAAGGTGGAGGCAGAGAGAACTTATTTAAAATACCTTTTTCACTTTTAGACTTTATATAATCGCATCATTTTCTTTTCGTATATTGTAAAATTCATTATACTGCTTGTAATTTCTCTTATAATTACAGCAAACCGCAAAGTTGTTTTACAATTTGTATCAGGGGGACATATAATTATCGATACTATTTAATCTTTGCGCGGAATGTTGCTATTTACAAACCAATTAATTTTTCTATACTTTTATGTTTCTCTTTATAGAACAAGTTTTGTAAAAAATAAAGAAAAAAAAAATTTTAATTTTAAAATAATAAAACGGTAGCAGAAATCGGTATAGTGATTATCTGTAATATTCTCGCCCAACGAGGAAAACAAGTTTTCATTATTTTATCTCCATTTGTAGAGAATGATGATCCAGTATGTCATATTGCATAATTAGTAATGCGCAATGACTTTAGAAGCATTTTATTCCGAAAACGGTTGCAAAAGTAAAAAATTTAGTGAAAAAAAAAAGTTATATTCAAATTTAGTCTCCTGCTCTTTTAAAGGAAAAAGAACCCAAGGAATCCAGTATTGAGAAAATAAAGACTTTTACATTCTTTACAATTTAAGAATGCAATTAAAATAACAGTGCACTTAACAGGGTGATGGTTTTTCTTTTTGATTTTGCGGAAACAATACTTTACTAATGAGAATACATTAGTAGAATATAGGAAGAGTTAAGTCAGGCAATACCACATGCTGACAAGAAACCGCAGTCGATCGTGAGGGTATTTTCTCTCGTCGTCGTTTACACAGTCAACCTGCGTAATGTCAAAAAAAAAAAAAAAAAAGAAAAAAACGATAAAAAACTTTCTCACCATTTTTAGAAGTCTAAAGATTTTTAAACTATTATTCTACCCTAGGTAATTTTTCGTAGTTTTCTAACTAACAAAATTCAGTGACTGAATTCTTTTGTTTTCTGAAAAAGAAAAAAATTCAAAAAATTTACATAAATATTTAATGTGAGAAAATTTTTGATTGTTACAGAATTATTTTTATCATGATAGTTGGAAAACCTATTAGTTGAATACACACGATTTCATGGAAGAAGAGAAGATGTTTGAAATGACATCAGTGAGAGCTTCTATACTCTCTGTTAAAGGCGCGGCTTCCACGATGACATTGTCCCAAAGGAAAGAAGCGGCACGAATAACGAACAAACTAGATGGAAGCTAATGGTATCGGATGTCCAAGCGCGTCAAGCTAAATACGCTTTAGACAGAAATGGTGATCAAGCATTATAAGAAAACAAAAAAGAATTTCTCAAGAAATATATCTCTTTGGAAAATGTTGAAATTATAGTAAGTTTTAATAAAATCAAATAAAACTAAAATCGTTATTTTATTTTTATAAATCTTGTGACAATATGTCACCAATGTATTTATAAGCCGTACGCGGTTAATTCCGTTGAGAGAGAGTTTTTTTTTTTAAATTTCTCTGAATGTCATTCAATGTTCCAGAATCGAAATGCAAGTCATGACAAGACACGAGTGCCAAGCTACCGGGTTGGATTCAATGTCCATTTTCCCTTCAAGGAAGTTACTGACGAATAGTGGTAATGTACATCTAACGAGATCGGCTTCATCGAATGCCAGTTTGATATGCGGATCCATTATCTGTATGACTTCAGATTCACAATATAAGACAGCACATCAGAAAGGTAAGAGAACTTCTTTACTGTTAGGTTCGTAACTTATAATTAATTATTATCGTATATATAGTCACATATAGAAACCAATATGCGAAAAGAAGTTCCATTTATCGAAAAAGAACAAATCATTTTGGTACAATTTTTCCTCTGCTAATTTAATTCAAATAATTAAAGAGGAAGTAAATTTTTGTCACGGTAAAGATTATTAAATTTTGAAAATAAACGTATAGGTTTTAGACGATATTTTATACTGTTAGCATCAAGTGTTATACACAAACGATGATAGCGTTGACCATACCAAGTAAAACGTGCTAAAAGTCCACTTAGTGTTTATACTGCATGCGACGACGTGAATGCTTCTTTGTACTTCGTTTTAGCACGTATCTCTCATTTACAACAAGAAAAGTTGGTGTGCAGCAACTTTGCAGACTTCTGCCGCTCTCTTTCTCTCTCTCTTTATATATAATACTCTACGGAAAGTGTTACTGGAAATAGATGTTTAATAGATGGTGCCCCGCCTCTATTCATGTTTGCCGCCAATTCCATAAGAAGGAAATGCCTTTTAAATTCACTAAGATCAAATTAAAAAGTGCTTAAGTTTTTTTTTTTTTTTTTTAAATACTATTTTAAGTGGAAAATTAAAAAACTTTTTCTAATTTCACAAATGGAATAACAAATTTTATTACCGCAACGAATTCATAAAAAAAACACGATATTTGTGAAATTAAATTGCGCGAAGAATGAATTTTTAATGAAGAGGACACGTGCCTATAACAGCGACGATAATATGCTAATGAGATTCATTTTTTATCTTTCTAATTATTAGTGACCTGGGATCTGAAAATTGGTGGAGGTGTCGCTTATTGTCACATTAAAGTATTCGATTACTTTATACTCAGACTACGAATTTCTTAGCCTCTATATAACGGTTTATATTTACGATCAGAATCGTGCCATAAATTCTTTTGAACTTTGGTCGAATGTCAAGACGTAAAAAAAAGAAAGAAAGCTTCTATCTCTTTTGTCCCTTCATAAATCAAGTAGTTATTCGAATCGTTAACGAATTTTAATCGCACACGTGATGCAGCTTTAATAATATCGATTTAGAAATATTTTTTTGAAAAAAATATTAATCACAATTTATAAAATCTTTATATTTATTTCAATTGTGTTTTAATTGTACATATTTTTTTATATAGTTTATACTTTCTAAATTTGAATTAGCGATAAGTATACCACTGGTACACCAATCAGCGGATATACGCTGAAAAATCAGTGAAATTCCACTAATTCATCAGTGCATATAAGCTGATTAGAATCAGTGGTATACTTATAGCTGAGAATTAGCGAGATTCCGCTGATTCAAATTTAGAGAGTAGTAATAAATTTGTTGCATATAATATTTTGTGTCAAATCAAACTTGAGTTGAACCTGATCAAAATCCGCTTGGAATTTTATTGAGCTAATCCGCTAGGGGGCAAAAATGTACTAATTAAATTTTAATTTTATGATCATTAGGTGCAAAATTGTTTTTTTTTTTTTTCATGACCACTGCATTTCATTCTCAAAGTAAATTTTTTTCTCCACTATTTACCGCCTACAAAGTCAAGTTTCTCCTCTGGTATATATTATAAGATATCGTTTCGTTCCGTCTCATAAGTTCTTGTACTTTATGGAAGTTGAACGATTTTCCGCGCTCCCTTAGAGCTATTTTAATGGCGCCCCTTTGCCATTTAGACCTCGACGGAAAGAAAGATCCGGAACCTTATAGTTTGCGGGACATTGTATAAAATCTAAGAGAATCTCACTTTACTGTATGAAGCATATAAATACGTAAGCGATGCTTAAGAAAGCAATTATTGTGGAATTGCAATTGTCACCTTAATGATCGTTTTAATTATCTTATAGTAGCCTATATCTTTAAGGATTAAAATGACATTCTAAATACTATAAAATTGAAATTTGCAATTTAAATACAATTCTTTTATGAAATCAACAATTTAAATCAAATCCTGTTGTCTAGAGATTCAATCCTTTCTCTCATAAATTGTCAGTTATTATAGGCGCGACATATATGGCCTACGGATAATGTGAGGTGTGATAAATCTTAGAATTCCATTGACATTTTTCTTAAATGATTTGAAAAAAAAATATTTTTTCTTGATCTAGAAATAGAGGGATAGTTTATTAAACTGGATTTCTATTCAGGTTTTAACAATGTTATTCTGTTACTGTGAGGTTAGTAGTGTGGATTTTGAAATAACAACTCAGCATCCTATATCGTCTTGTAAAAATAGAAGGTACAGAATCTCATTGACCCATCGGTTCTTTAATTTAAATGTATTTAATTTTGTTTAGGAATGTATTTTCAGCAGTACATCAATTTGAAAATGTAGAAAAATCTTAAATATTTGGAGTACATTAGATACGGATGAATAGGGATTTTATGAAGTTTGAATAATTAGAAAATGCAAAGAAGTAATTTGATTCTTATAAGGTGTTGATGCGCCTTTATAAAGACACCTCGATATAAGAGGCCTGAGGTCAAACTTTATTGTTTTATATCCGATATCAATAGCCTTATTAGCAACTGTTCTTACGCTATGAGTGTGTATAAACCGGTTTTATTTCTATAAAAGCGTCCTTGTGATACCAAGAGAAAGAGAGAGAGACTATTTTTCCATGCTATTCAATAAAATTAATAACCACACAGCTATAAAATCGTGTTAGTTCTCATTATATGTTGATTGCCCCTTATGTAAATCAGCTATAGGAACAAAAGGCAAAAAAAGGAAGAAAGCGCCATGTAATCATTACAGTGTCGGAAATCGGTGACTTAATTAAGAAGCATTACTAATATATCACATTTATTTAAATAATAATTATCATTAATTTCAATTGAAGTTTATGAAAAATATTTACGAAAAAAGCAGCAGAAATTAAAAAGTCAAGGAAAAAATTAGTAAATTAAAATTTAAAATTAGATTAATTTAAATCTAAATTATTTTTGTTATAATAATATAGGTTTATTTTCTAAGTTTGTTATATCTTTTTCTCAACAAAATAAATCTGACAGGTTGCTATTGTAAGAATTTATCATCTATTCAAAGTCTTGACTTTGCTGCGAATATAATAATATCTTCTTGATCCATTTGTGATATAAAAGTGAAGAATTATTCTTCGTTTTTCAAAATGACTTTATTATCATATCCCGTACAAATATAGCATTATTATTAATAACTAGAACTGGGATAAAAATCGAATAAAAATCAATTTTTGTATTCAGATTTTAGGTGTTGTATGTATATCTTCTAAATGAATCTCGTAATCAATACCCTTTTTCACACCCACGCTTTTAAAAAATACGAAAGTAATTTTGTTGTCATGTATATATATATATATATATATAATATGCAGAATTGTGGGTGGTTAAATGTCGTTTGGATTCGAAGATTGGGCGTTCTTGTCTCCAGGAGTGAATATCAAGTATATGGGATACCATCCCCGTGTATCTGCATTTAAATGATATCCGTTACTTCAGGCGACTTTCTTTTCTACGATTTTTGCTTCATTTGCCCAAAATCGAAATGTTTCTTCTTTTTTGCGTATATGAGATTTTTTCTCTCTTCTTGTTTGACCATCTTTTGTGTGTTTCTTCTTGTTATTCTTCATTTCTCTTTCTTTCGTTTTATGGTCTTCTTATATACAGACGGTGGTATAAGATAAGAACCAAGGGTACATATATATATATATAAGACTGGCAAAGAACCGAATCCCTTGTCCGCCAGTTGAAACACGATAATTCACCTACCCAGTTGTTCAAATGCCTCGCCTTTATACGAATATTCAAGTCGAAGAGTGCTACATCCGCTTTCGTCCTTTATTAATTTAACAGAGACATTTTTTTTGATTATAAATACTATTTCCATTTGTTTTTGAGTTTTTATTTGTCATATGGATCTTATTATTCATTGTATATGACACAATTGATCAATTATTGATTGCAGTTCAATTTTATTGAGAATTTCATTTAGAATAATTAATGATATTTGAAATTTATATATGTTGTGATTTGAATTTCGCGCCGCGCATGCGTATCTCCAACTTGAGTCTTAGGGCGCACTCACACCTTTTGGCTGCCTGCCTGCCTGCAGGAATTGTCATGGCAACATGTAGGAGTACCAGAGAGAGAAAATTCAAATTTGAATTTACTATCTCTGTTACTCCTTCACGTTGCCATGACAACTCCTGCAGGCAGGCAGGCAGGCAGCCAAAAGGTGTAAGTGCGCCCTAACCTTAAATAATAAAGGTCACACATCGTTTTTCCGGCTGCCTGCAGCAGGAAAATTGTCGGAAGATTTAAGGCCAGGTCCAAGTCGAGTCAGCTGTTCCTTTGAAATTTCAATGGAACAGCTGACACGACTTGGACCTGGCCTTAAATGTGAGTAATATTGTATCTTTATTTTTTAATGTCAATTATTGATAAAAATGAATAAAAATAAGAGCAAAAGTACCGCAAAATTAATATTTTAAAATCAAATGATTAATGGTTAATTAATATAGTGAAAAAAATTAATTGTTTTTTAGTATATGTATAATAAGGCATTCTAACCTACAAAAGTGTTCGTCAGATGCAAGTTGCCTTTGTTCAGTGTTCGCCACGTGCTCAACAAGATTTTTTTCAAACAAATTGAAACAAATGTGTTTCTAGAAGAAACAAAAATCAAAAATCCTTACTATACAAAACAATAAGCACAAGTCACTAGAAACACATTTGTTTCAATTTTTTTTTTGTTTTGTGTTTTTTTTTTGTCCAGTAGGACAAAAATTTTTTTTTTCGTATGTCAGGATGGCCGAGCGGTCTAAGGCGCCAGACTCAAGGTTTATCACCTTTCCGTTTAAAGAACGGGTTATCGGGAATTCTGGTCCTCTATGAGGGCGTGGGTTCAAATCCCACTTCTGACAAATTTTTTTTTCTCATTTCGCGATAAATTAATCATTTTCTTACGAATTTTTATAACAAAAAAAAAAAAAAATAGTCACTATAAAATATTGAAGAAAATTTTTTTTTAATTTTTAAATTCTACTTAAATTCCGGTAACTTAATAATATACAATGGTTATATAGTTATGCGTGAGTACATGCAAACGCGGTGAGTTGTTTAAAAGCCAAGTTGACAAGAGCAATGTATATGATCACGATAAAAGGATCGTTAAAAACATATAGTTACTTTGTTTCTTATAAACTACATTTTCTATAATAGAAGCCAATGAATGGTGATCGCAATAATGTTTAAATTGATCGTTAGACATATTAACAAGTATACACTGCGCATTTATAGATTAATAAAGTCATAAAGTGGCAACATTTGACAAGAAAGCGAAATTTACATTACTTTATGTAAGTACATTTATGTGAATTATGATATGAGTCCTGATATCAACAAGACAATATTTTTTTTTTCATATTTTATACTCACAATTTTAGTATATAACTGAAAAAAATAATTTTTTATTTGATTCAAATAATCTTGTACTTGGCTATTATCAAATAAATATTTACTTGAAACAAATAATTTTTAATTGAATTAAATAGATTGTATTTGGACCAGTAATTTCTCTACTTGAAACAATAATACATTACTCTCTAAATATGAATCAGTGAAAAAGTCACTGGTCTCAAATCAGTCGCTAAATTCTAGCTATTTGAATCAGTGGTTTTCACTGACAGTTAGTGATATTTCACTGGAGAATCAATTACTTTGACTGAAAATCAGTGAAATGTTACTGATTCAAATAGCTATAATTTAGCGACTGATTTGAGACCAGTGACTTTTTCACTGATTCAAATTTAGAGAGTTGACTCAATTAAAAATTATTTGGTCCAAGTAAATATTTAATTGATAATAAAAATCGAATATTTGAATCAAATAAATTTTTTTTCTAATTAAAATAAGAACTTATTTTCAGTTTCTTAAATTTAGAATATCCTTCTTTAGGATGTATTACAGAAAGTAAAAACAGAATAATTAATTGCTGATAAATTATGTAATTTAATGTATAGAGATAAATTTTAATATATATTTTTTAATGATTTTAAATTTACACTTAATTAAACGGGTTGAATATTTATGGATTAGAAGATTTTATTCTCAAGGGAATTTATTTGCAAAAAAATTGCATAATAACTTTAATTTGTCACAGTAAATGTCTTACATATGTAGCGCTATGAGCCAACTTGAAACTCGTCATTCAAGTGGTGGGAAGAAGAAGGTTGAATGTCATCGATTAAAGAAACTTTCACACTAATGCAAAAGGTTTTACATTATTGTACATACATACATATATAGATATATAGTATATATAGCGTAAAACTTGCATAATCGTAGTATACGCACGAGTTCCTTCTCGATCAACGACCCTTCTCTCTTTCACTCTCTATCTTTTTCTCTCGATATACATAAATCGCTTCCTGGGCACTTGGATCATGCTAGAAGTGCTGTTATCTGTCTCCTTCGTATATACTATAATTTCATTTGATAAACTTTTTTTTCTACAATTAGTTTTATTATATATCCATTTTTTTGCGCAGCGTATTATATGATTTCTTATCTTCAATATTTATAGGATAAAAAAAATATATTCTTCGTTTGAGAAGAAGTTTTTTATTTACTAATTTGAATTAGTGAAGAAATTTTGGAGAGTGTAATTATTATTATTCTGTATAGAAAATTACGTAAATAATAATTTTGATTTTTACAACTATATATTAGTGTTGCGTAATTTGTTTTATTTTTTTATTTGTATAAACTTGGGAAAAAATTATAGACTAAAAATAATTGGCCAATTAAAACAAAGATGTATACAACAAAATCATTAGTTAATTTAAATATATATGACTTTACTTCCTGCTATAAAAATGTGGTATAGTCTCTTTTTTTTTTTTGACAAATTTTAGCAATTATTGTAGAAATGCATTGTCTTTTTTGAAAACCTATAAATTCAGGAGAATATGTTAATTTTTTTTCAAAGTTAGTTTAACCACAAAAATATTCACAGTGATTGAGAATAATTTTCTCTCTTGTATCATGAAGTGTGTGCTATTTTTCGCAGGAATTGTGCTTTTTCAAATGGTAAGTATTTAATTAATTTAATCTTATTTATTTGTTTTGTTATAATTTATTATTATTATTTTTTAACATAAGTATTACTAGTCTCTAAATTGGAATTAGTAAAATTTTTAACTAATTTTCGTCACTTATTGATTTAGATAAGCACTGCATATGGCAAAAAAGAATTTTTTAATGAATGCGCAAAGGAACTTGGAATAACAGAAGGTAAGATACATCTGTATTTTAGTCAAATTTTTTTTTTGCCTTTTTTTAAATTTAGGCCAATTAAATATTTATGTTATTTCAAATTTGAAAAAAAATTAATTATTTTGAAATAAAATTTGTTTCAGCTGCGCTTAAGGAGGCACGTGAACAAAAGAAAGATAAACCCGAATTCCGTTGTTTAGGTGCATGTATGTTGAAGAAAATTGGTGAAGTATGTATACATATACTAAATTAGCTATTAGGAATCTAATATATATTAAATATAAAATACAAAAAAAAAACAAAAAATGTGAAAATAATTATGATATTAATTTTTAGTAGAATTAAATCTTTATATATTTGCAGCTTGAAGAAGGTAACAAAATGAATTGGGATAAAGTTGAGGAAAATGCATCGAAACATTTTGGTGACAAAAGTAATGATATTGTAAAAGTAAAACAAGAATGTGTTGAAGAATGTAAGAATCTAAACTGTTTTTTTTATAATAATCATATAAAGCCCATAAAACTATATGTCTAATAAGATGAAATTAATTTTAAATTACAGCAAAAGCCATTGCAGATGAATGTGACTTTGTTAAAGCCGTGCACAAATGTCTGTTTGAAAAAATCCCCGACATGAGAAAGTACATGAAAGGATAAATTTGAATTTTATAAAATAAATAATAATAATAATTAGGCTAAGAGAACAATAAATGTAAAATTTAAATTTTAGTATTAAAATAATGTTATTATATTTAAGGAGATCCTATCGTAAAGAGAATTAAAATTAAAATTTTAATAAAATTTAGTTTTGGTCTAGCGATATAATCTCCTTAAGGAAGAACTTTTTTGTAAACAAAAAAAAGAAGAAATATTCAATAAAATCTGTGCATAGTTAGCATATAGTATATTGTATAAATTGAAAATAATTGCGATGGTTTATCTGTTTTTCGAATTGCATGTCTGACTAACTCTTGTGACAATATTGACCTCAGAGAAATGGTAACGAAGCTATATAGATATGTATATAAGAAACGTCCCTTCACCCCTTGTTATCCTTTCTCTCTGTTCCTCGAATCCATTTGATGTGTCGATGTCGTGACTATATTCTCTTTCCCACACTTGAATCGTCTCGTTTCAATATTGTGATCTTAAGACAAAGAGAAAGGGTAAGCAGTAACTGATTTGAATTTTCTTTTTTTAAAAAAAGGATCGAGACAAAAAAATCAATATGAAAGGCATAAAGAGATTTTTTTGGCTGTTATGATAGTTGCAAATTTTAGTATAGCAACCATTGCTAAGGAAACTGTTGCTTTGGAAACCGTTACTATAGCAACTGTTGCCATGGAGACCGTTGCTAAGGAAACTGTTACTATAACAACCGTTGCTATGGAAACTGTTGCTAAGGAAAATTTTGCCTTGACATGGACACCGTTACTATAGCAACTGTTGCCATGGTAACTGTTGCGAAGGAAACCGCGTCTAAATGTTTCCATGATAACAGTTGCTATGGAAATTGCAACCATATAGTCAAATAATTAACAAATACAAAATTCATAATTTCATAATGTACTTTTACGTAAATTGTATACTACACACGTATTGATTGAAATAAAATGAAACATTGTGCCATGAAAATTCATTATTTTTAAAATATTTTCCAAGCTTTTTTATACGCACTAACGCGCAACGTCTTTAGCAATTCACTTTACGAATGCAAATTTCAATTAATATTGTACGTCTTAGTGTTAATGGTATTTCCTTATTGCCATTGCGTATTTCCTTCTCTTAGCGTATATATATATATATATATATATATATATATATATATATGTATAAAGAAGCGTTTGAAATATTCTTTTTTCACGCGCACCTTCATTCTAAATATTTAGAGAAAAAATAACTAAAAAAAAAAATCTAAGTTTTATTCTATACTCAAAATTTTTAATAATTCTTTTTTTTTTTGAATATGTAATCAAAATTTTATTGTTTTTTGTAAATCTTATGTGTATTTATTTTTTTTTTATTTCAGATGGAGTTTTATTTGTCTCTCTAGAAAAAAAAAAAAAATGCGGATGTGAATTTCACTACGCGAGAGTAAATTCTAAAGGGGCGATGATCAGGATTACAGACTTAAAACCTAATTGATGCTTTATGACGGAAATTCCAGGTAAATTTTTTATGTATATACACATAGTCGACAATTTTGTTTCTTGTAGGTCGTGTAACGACTATAAAGCACAACTCACGTGCGCGAGTCTATTGAAAATTTGCATTTCGCGGCCAATTCCAATTGGTCGATTTGGCGTTAACAATATATAATAAAAGCTAGCACGTACAACATTGAGGAAGAGCAGTAACGTCTTAAGTGAATTTAGAGCTTTTATATATATATATATATATATATATATATATATATATATATATGTATATAGGCAGCTGTGTGGTTCATCTCTCGAGGCTTCATGAGAAAGCAAACTTTTACGATCTAGTAATTTCAGGCCTATATACTCTTTGCGATATAGGCAATTTCCAAGTTACGGTTGCAGCCGTGTTGTCGTGCCGGATGATCGCGTGCTTTTTAAAGAACCATATATGCTATATATATATATATAAAGATTCCGTAATAATAATAATAATAATAATAATATATAAAGTAAAACTCTTATCCAATGACCACACACGCCAAAGATGGGCTTTTAATGTCCATTACCACCGTCTCCAAACGCACTATGTTGACTGGTAAGGTGAAAAAATGCTGCATCGCACGCGATAAGTATCGCGCAGGATATATTATGTGTAATGGAGAAGAAGATTAGCAGTGACGCTGATTTACTTTCTTTCATATTAGCGCGAGGGTCACACAAAAATAAAAAGTCATTTAAAAACCAAAAAATTATTTTTAAACTAAAGATATGATTCTGTTTTTTTTTTTTTTTTTGCTAGGGGAATGGACCACTTTTTACTTAACAGAATTTCTATATATAGAATTTTTATTCTACACTGAAAAAAAAATGCCTAGGCGATTTAGCTATGCTCCTAGTCACGAGAGGAACCTACTAAAAATCATAGTTACATTAACTATGACAACTAATTATGGCAAGGAATTAGTTGGGATAACTAGGAATCCTATAGTTAATGTGACTCTGATTTTTAGTGGGTTCCTCTCGTGACTAGGAGCATAGCTAAATCGCCTAGGAATTTTTTTTTGGTGTATAGAATTCTTATTAAAACGCTAAATTTTTAGGGCGCACTCACACCTTCTGGCTGCCTGCCTACCTGCAGGAGTTGTCATGGCAACGTGCAGGAGTAAGAGAGAGAGAAAATTCAAATTTGAATTTACTATCTCTGTTACTCCTACACGTTGCCATGACAACTTCTGCAGGCAGGCAGGCAGCTGAGAGGTGAGAGTGCGGCCTTATTTGTCCGAAATTGCAAATGGCCGAACAACAGAAAGATTTTGGCGCGATTTTTAAAATTGACCAATGAATTTTAAAAATCGCCCCAAAATCTTTCTGTCGATATTGTTTGTTCGGTCATTTGTAATTTCGGACACATTAAATTTCGGGCGTTTTAAAAATTCTATACAATAAAAATTATATAGAAATTCTGTAAAGTATAAAGTTTGAAAAATTCTATCAAAATTAATTCGAAAATTCGTCTAGAAAACTAATTATATATGTATATATTATTTAAAATAAAAATTCTAGTTATTTTTATGGGATATGCGCCCTTATTCATCTAGATTTAGATTTTTATTTCATTTCTTCAGTACAACGACAGCCATAAAATGTTGTAAATGTGACAAATGACATAGTTAAGTCGGTTATCTGTTTCTTCTCTTCACTCTTAGAAATCTGCTTGAATTTCTTATTTAATCCCTTTTTGGATATATTTGAGAAAAATCTTTTTCTTTCAACCGCATCCTTTTCTGAATGAACAATTATTGCTTTGTGTATAGTACTTAGTATAAGGAGAAGGTAGTGGAGGTGGGGGGGGGGGGAGTTTTTATTTTTCGTTTGAAATAGAGCTCTTAATACGATAGAGGATTACATACCAAAGAAGACAGTTGGATATATGTACCTTGTCGAATAAATAAATACCGCCGTCAGGCAAGAAATGTATATACACACGACTCCAAAGAGTATAGAGAATCTCTATGTTGTTGCGGTATAAAGGAACTCTGACTAGTTTCTTTTTGTTTGCAGTCACAACTTTCTTTTGTGACAAATGAGGCGTTTTTTTTTTTTTTAAGTGATGGCTTCTGACATCATTGTGTGTGCACCCTCTGACACTTTACTCTGGTATGTTTCGAAGTAAATACTCCTTGCGTGTGTATATATATATATCGAAAGTTATTATCACTCACTCTTGTGGAGTACGCAAGAAAATGTGACTTATACCATTAAAAACAGAACTTAAAATTGTTTAGAATCCTTTGTTTTTGATGAACTTGTTATTTCTTTTTAAATGACAATTTAGAAGGTCATGAGAATTAAATGGATAAATTATAATAATTTCTTTTTAAAATGACAATATTGAAGAGTATGAGAATTAAATTTATAAAGAATAGGAAAATATGTTTTAAATAATTTTAATGTATTTAAAATTTTTTTTTTTTGATTTATAGTACAAGAATACGGCACTGGATTATGTGACGCCAGCTTTTATGGCGGTGGATTTTGGAACTAAAACGTGGCTACAAAATGGAGGCAAGGAACAGTCTGTGTTAGTGTACAGTTCGGTGATTCTTTTTTCGTCACGTGATCTCGGTTTGAAGTTATAACCACGTGGTCTCGGGAGTGTCGAATTTTCTTCAAACCGCGTTCGTTTCTTAATCCAGTATTTAACCTAGTAATTTATCGAAAGTATTAAAAATTTTTCTTTCCACCACGTGGTCTCGGGAGTGTCGAATTTTCTTTAAACCGCCTTTGTTCTTTAACCCAGTATTTAATTTAGTAATTTCAAAATTTTTTTTTATTCCTTTCCACCACGTGGTCGCGGTAGTGTCGAATTTTTTTTAAATCACGTTCGTTTCTTAACTCAGTATTTAACCTATTAATTTAAAAAGTATTAAAATTTTTTCTTTCCACCACGTGGTCTCGGGAGTGTCGAATTTTCTTTAAATCGCGTTCGTCCCTTAATCCAGTATTTAAAATAGTTTTTTAGCATCGTATTTTCGGGAGTGATCGATATTCTTGAAATCGCGAGTGAGTGTTTTTTTTTCTTCAATCTGGAAAACAACGTTCATGAACATCACTGGAATGGAGGTCGAGCATTTATTTTTACAACAGTGCAGTAGAAGGTAGGAATTTTTTATTTAATAATTACATGATTACATCGATCATTGTTATTATATAATAATTTAAATATTGTTTTTCTTTAATCTCGCGGTAAAATATTATTTTTATTCTGTAAATTTAATAAAAATTCGTTCACTAATTCAAATTAGTAGAATTTTTCACTAATTTTTTTTTTTAGTAAAATATTACTATAAAAGCCGATTTTCATCGTGTGGGTTAAATTTAATCTTTCGAGAGGTTACAGGCAGTAGATATATTCTGCGACTGCGCAAAATCTGTATACATTCTGCGCAGACGCAAAAATCTACTATCCTTAAGGCACTCTCACATCTGTTTGGCTGCTTGCAGATTACCATGGCAACGCATGAGAGTGAGTGCGACAGAAAATTAAAAAATTTGAATATTCAAATTTTCTGTCTTACTCACACTCGTGCGTTGCCATGGTAACCTGCAGGCAGCCAAAAAAGTGTGAAGTGCCTTTAACCTCTAAGAAAATTAAGTTTAACCCATATATTTATTGAAAACTGGTTCAATATTAAATAATAGGAAAAATTTTGACCACCCATTTTAGTGCGATATAATTTTTTAATTATTTCCCCCAACTTTAAAATAAATTTTCAAACAATTAGAGATATAATATTATATTGAAAATAAGTTCCCAAGGCACTGTTTCGACTTACATATATATAAAACATTCTTCCTATGCCAATTTACAAGCTGGATTATAAATGTGCGCGGAGAAATTTTTTTTCTGATTTGTAGAAATCGATACCCTTCCTTCCTCTTATGTTGTATAGTGAATATCGAAGGTAATCCACATGCATCTTTTGACATTTGCATTTTGCGAGAGAGTTTTATATGCGCACGCGAAATAGCGAGATACCGCGAGCCATCAGTCGATGGGATAAGATCATAAGTGTGTATGTATGTGTGTGTGTGTGAGTATCAAGACCCGGTGATCCCGGAGAAAACCCGTAAGGCACATTCTAGCTGATGTGTACTATCAACGGGTCGCATAAGAGGAAATTCTTTTTAAAAAAAAAAAAATCTCTTTTGAATTCCACTTATTGGCCTTAAGGGTGTGTTACATTGTGTATATATAAAAGCTAAAATCGTATAGCATCATCTTTTTCACCAAACGTGGAACAATAGTCTCTTATTCTCCTCCAATTTCTCTAATGCCTTCATCGAAAAAACGAAACTCTAAATTTAAGAATATCTTTGCGCATATTTAAGAATATTTCCCATGTAGTTCTTAATAATTATAATAATAATAATAATAGTTAATAGTTCTTAATTTAAAAATTATTTTATTCTTACTCTAAGAATAAAATGCATGAGAAATATTTTTATAGGCGCCAAGATATTCTTTTTAGAAATATACTTTTTTTCGGTAATTGAAAGTAGAATTTCGTTATATTCAGGATATTTAATTATTTTAAATTAAGTTTTTGTGATATTCCTCTTGATTATATTGGCTATATACTATAAAAACAACTATGATTTGTAACTGTAGCTATTTTTCACGTTGCATATAGAAAAAGTTATTTACGCGCAATTCTCACGCATCAAGTAGAAAAAAAAACGTTTTATCTGCATATGGATACTTTGCAGAAAAGTCGTTAAAGGCAAAAAAAAAACAAATTCCGGCTAAATGAGAATACAAAAAAAGAAACACATCGAATGAGAAAAAAAGTAACAGTAAAGATAGAAATAAAGAAGAAAAGAAAAAAAATTACTATAGAAGGTATACAGGAAATTCTGTTTTATATATATAATACCGGCGGCTTCATTTTGGATATCAATATAAGAATCGTTGCATCATTAATTTTCTATAGGGTTAATATTTTAATAGGAAAAATATAATTAGACTAAGCTATTTTTAATTTTTAATTCCGAGGTTAATTCTTAAAATGGTGACTACATTAATAATCATGACATTGTACAATGTCTTTAATTTTCAAACTCATCTGGTACGCGATCAAGTTCATTAAAATCTGTCTTTAGATGATCTGGTAATATACCATATTATCGCGTCGATAATTATCAATCTTCTTCTTTTATTTTTCTTATCTTGTTTCTAGAATCGTATCTCCATAAATCCAAATGTGTAATTCATCATCAGCGATGATAAATTCCATATTATAATAAATAAATAAATTTTAATTTTTCTTTCTAAATTCTGATGGATAGTAATTATTTGCATTAAATTTCTTCTAAAAAAAAGTATTTTCCTTCACAAAAAAAAAAAAAAATAGTAATTTTTTGTTGCCTCTAATATGTCTTTGCACATAGAGAGGAAATTACATGCACTTGAATCTTGGTAATGTATCGATGGTGTTACCAGTAGGGATTACATGTATTGCGAAGAGAAAAACCGGTTTCTGATGATCTGCCAAAAGCTTTTATTTATTTTCTTTTTTTTTCAAGTATATATCTTCCATGCAGTATACTTTTAACAATTTTCTTTGCATGGCTTCAAAATGATACGGTGATTAACAATTTAACATCCTGATGATATTCTCTATGCAATGAGCTTTCAATTCCTTGTTAAATCGGTATGGCTTATATATATATTTAATAAATACCATATTCAATAATAATTATTCGATTTGTATTACAATTAAACGTTTGGAAAAATTAAATATAGTGTTTCTAGAAACAATTCGTAACGCAATTATTAAACTTTTGCTACACTTGTGTTTATTTCTGTGTAATAATTTATGAACATTCACTCGAGTATGAAAGAGAAAGTCAGATTGGATTTCTTATATATATATATATAGTATACATCTTCGTGAGACATGAAAGTTTTTCTGTATTTATAATCGATGCACGGTTTTTGAACTCTAATCAGTCAGTGAAAGCGACATTCTCCATATTCAGTAGATTTTGCTAAATAAGTCGTTGTTTGACATTCGCAAGTACCTTTCTAACAAGTTCATTTGACAAAATTCTTTTTAGTTGACAAGTAAATATATATATTTAAAAAGGGCAAAACTCTGTGACACTCGTTTAAAACTCGTTTATAGAATATCCGTGAGAAAATGTAAAAGTTTTTAATAGAAAGTTAGTTATTTTAAAGCAATTTATGTCATTTGAGAAATAATAATTTTCTGTTTAAAAAAATTAAAAAAATTAGTTGAGAAATTAAAAAAAAAAAAAATAATAATATGCCTCCTAAAATGCCATAATTCTGTTATGCGATATCGTCTTATGCACTTGAGAAACTTCTTGGCAGTCGACAACTTTATAATCTTGAGAGGTAATCCGAAGATCCGTGTGAAAAAAATGGTGTCTTATTTTCATGGTAGAAAAGAAAGAAGTAAAAAATTCAAAACTTAAAGGTATTCGTTGGCATCTTTTTATTTTATAAAGCAGAATTTAATTATTTACCTACAGTGAAAAAATAGGAAAGGAAAAAAACTGTCGGTAATTCAGAGAGGGTTAAAATTTTGAAAATTGAAAAAAATATTTATAGATCACAATTAAATGAGTGCACCACTTACCACAGTATCTTGATGACCAATGTCTGCCGAGTGTTTAATTAAAAGTTCAACCACTTCCTGATGTCCTTCTGCTGCCGCTCTTTGCAGTGCAGTTATACCAGACTAAAAAAAATCATCAGAAATTAAATTAAAAGAGATTTAAAAAATATTAAAGAAATAGAGAAAATTTTGTTTAAAATTCGCTACAACTTTCTTATATAGCTATAAGCTTATATTATAGCTTATATTATAGCTGATAAATTTATTGATCAACTTCTTTGTCCGTTCAGAAAAGTCTAAACTAGAAAATTAGAGAAAAAGATTAGTTCATATCATTAGGCTAACTCTTCTGTTTCTACTTTTGCAAAAAAAAACCAGTAGGCTTCATATAAAATGAATAATTGATGTGGGATTTTCATAAATATGAGCATAAAACATATATGTCATGTAAAATGAATACGTATTTAATGTATTTGACTCGTATTTACAATTTTAAACACGCAATGTATAATTGAAAAATTTATAATAATTTTTTTTCTTTTCATCTTGATCAACTTTCATATTGAAAAGAATTAATTATAATGAGATAGGAGACTTTTTTCTTTAAATAAAGCACTTTTTTTTTTCTTTATACATTTATATGTATGACGAACTTAATATTAACCAGTACACGATTCATGATACTTTGCATGAATAAAATTTCGATTAACACGTATAATAGAGCCTGTTAAAACGGTACTTTGTGGTCGATGCTTGAAGTATATAATAGTACACTGAAGAACATGGCGCATAAAGAAGAAGAAGAAGAAGGAGCAGGAGACGCAGGATCGTACAAAATCGGTTCAGGAGTGAATTATGCGTCCAGAGATGCGAGATCAGTGGAAAAAAAAAACCTCTCTCTAACAATTGCAAAACGCCAATTAAAACCGAAACCACAGATACAAACAAGAGGACTTGCATCACAACTACTGTTCACACATTCTATTATATCAAAAAGAATTCTTGACGTGGATTTTAATTAACATTTAATTAAATGAGACAGTTTGATTGGGATTTCTCGAAATGAAAAAAAAAAAAACAAAACAGAAAGGATGTTTTTGTGATCAGAAAGGCGATTTTTTTGTCCATCTCTTCAATCCGATTTTGGAATTTGAAAAATTAAACCAAATCTGCAACTCGATTAGTATTTATTTAGCTTAGGTGAATTCAGGTAGGGTTAAGTTAGGCCAAATCCATATAAAACACGTAATTAAAAATATAAATAAATTTTAGAAACGTGGAAAATTGAACTTGGCTTTCTATTTTAATTTAAAGAATTAAATCACTTTCAAGAATGGAATCATCGAGTGTAAATGAGACCTGATTTTACCAACTCCCCATGGCGAGGAGAGGCGCTCATTTAAGTAACGATGAAGTATAACTCCACCTGTGAGTTATATATATGGATTACATAAAAAGGAGATCGATTTCCCGACTTCGTTCATCCATTACAGTGTCTATTTACTGATAATCTGGTATAAAGAAGAAAACAAAAGAAGTTGATTTTATGGATGCTCCGATTTCACGCAAGAGTTATATTGCAAATAACGAGAGAAATGTACTTGGATGAAAGGAAGTAGAGTATACACAATTGGTGTAAATTTCTTTTTCATATATAGAAATAAAAGTAGGACATTGAGCTCAGTTTTCTAATTAGAATTTTTAAACATTTATATCAAGAAAATAAATAATTTTAACCATTAATTTGTTACAATCCAGTATGTTGTCTTCGAAATTTAGTATATCCTGATTTCTGTTTTTAGACATATAAACACTACTCTCTTGATATAATATAACTACGGCAACATCCGGTAATGATCAAATCGCTTAATAAAGCGTGCGAATGAACGCGATCAAAGGGAGGGGAGGGTATAATCGATTGAGAGCGACCTTCATTGGGCAATGTTTCTCGATTCTATCCCTTTGATCCTTCAACCGAATCCGACGTATTGAACTTACCGCGCGACTGACGATAGATCGAGTACTTGTTTTTTTTTTTTATTTGCGAATCGATAACCATCTGAATGCCCGTCACTTAACCGCAAGATCGTTAACTTGATGCTCTTTGCTTTACGTAATTCTGAATTAGGTTCTTCGTGATAAACAAGTACAATTCAGTCCCAGGATCAATCGATCTTCCTCCATAGTGAATTAAATGTGCAAAAACAATGGAATGTAAATTATTTTTTTATCCAAAAAAAAATCCATAGTGGTTTTTTTCATAGTTGAAGATAAAAGAGAGATGCTCTGATTACTATAGGGAACTATTGTTGCCGGACGATATCTTTGTAATTTGTATAAACAAGTTTCTTGGAGGTTAATACTTCCGGTACTTAAATCCCAAAGGGGTGAAGAATCTTCCAATAAACGAGAAAAGAAGGACAAAAAAAAGCGTTGGAAGATTTTCTAATATCCACTTTACGAAATTGAAAAAACTGTAAAACCGTATGAATTTATTGTTATTATTAAATGCGTTGAAAAATGAGAAGTTGTTCAAAAAAGTTTCTTATAAGCTGTGCTGAAGTCTTAATTCTCAAATCGGAGAAGAGGGCTTAAAATAAAGACGCAAATCTTATATAGAATGTTCAATCACTCATATATACGATAATCCCTTTTCCTTCAAGGAGACAAGCACATTCTTCAAGAACTTGAATTTGATAATATAATATGGAAATTTTAAAACTACTCTTCTCAATATCATAAACATAACATTAATTTTTTAAAGAAATAAAATACATTGTTGCTTTTTTGATCCTCCAAAAAAAAAGGTTCGGAAGGTCACTAACTAATTCTCTCTCTTTATTTTAATACTAAATATCTTTCGAGATTAAAGGGTGTAAAAGAATAACTTAATTACTGACATTAGGAAATATTTACGAAACAGGTTTTATATTTGTCGCAAAAAAAAAAACCCCCCATCATATAAAATGTCCGAAAATTTCATCTTGGTATAAAAAACCGGTTAAACTGTCGTCGTCGTCGGTGAAAACGCGTTGCCGAGCGATGAAAGGTTAATTCCTTCCAAATCTGGTTCGTAATTAGTCATGCTCTTCAAAAGATACGACAAGCCTGATAACGAAAACCTCTCACGACTCACGTGCATAACCTTTTTGGAAGATTGCTATAGTCACATTTATATATACAAAGTAATAGTTATATACATATATTCAAAAGAATTAATTGACTATTAAAATGTCGTGTCACCAAAGTAATTGGGGATATAGGAACCAGTTATAACTGCGCGAGCGCGAAGAAAAATAAGATTATAATGTTACCAGATAATAAAATTCCAACAATCCGGATATAATGAGCAAAAATACAAATTCTTTTCCCAAAGAAATTATATCTTTTAACATGTTGTAAAATTTGTTAAATCCGTTTATATATATATATTTATATTTTAATTACATATGTAATTTAATTAAAGAAATTTGTACCAATTTCTTTTTTTTTTTTACAATAATTAAATATTCCGTTAAAGGCTCGTATGAAGGGATATATACTTTCTTTATATCAAAAATTCTCCTTGTGTGCCTGTCATTTTGTATAATATTCTTCGGGGTACGATTATCCCAGATTTAAATCCCTGGCAATTTTGTGCGAGGAATAAAAAGAGAGTGAAAAAAAATTAATTAGGTTCAGAAATGAAATGACTACTTAAATGTTGAACACATTTCTTTTATATGTATTCGAACTGAATCCTTTTTGGGTATACCTTTTTTTTTTGCAGTCTAGGGAAAAAAAGTGCATATTTAAATTTCTAAAATGATAATCCATTGTATAATACAAATGAGAATTCAGAATCAGAAATTAGAATCAAAATCAAAATCAGAATCAAAATTAGAATCAAAATCCGAATAAGAATCAGAATTAGAATCAGAATTATTCAATGTTTTTAGTATGACTATCTTATTTTTACTTATGGGAAAGTAACAATTCCCTGCCTTTTATTCTTTTAAAAACAAAGTTTGTATTTCTTACTTCGGGTTTTATTTAAAGGATTTTGTCGAGAGACATGTACAATATGAGCTTTGAAGTATTTTCTCTGTATGCGTACAATATCCTTTTGTATATACATGTGATACACCTACGCAAAAGTCTGATATATCCCGGTGTGTTTTAATGTATTCACCCCTCGTTTACTTGTATAGAAGTTTGCTCGAGCATGCTAATTGCGTTTAGGACAATAGTGGGATTCCACCTCAGTATTCATGCAATTCTCTCTTTCTCTTTCTAGACGCGTAGGAGTTGTAGTGTGCCAAAAGAGGCAAACACCATACACGAAAAAAAATATCTTCATTTCCCTCATAGAGAACTAGAAAATCTCTCTGCTATACATGTCAGGTTAATTCTGCATTCATTAAAATTAATTAAATTAATTTGCATCTCTCTCTCTCTCTCTTTCTCTTTCTCTTTCTTTTCTAAATTAACATTCCCCTTTGCGAGCATTTGATAAATCATGATACATCTGATGTTAATCTTACATTATAGCATAAAGAGATGCGTTTAACACCAAACCTGTTTTGTACAGAGACTTTTCCATTAATATAAATACAAGATTGAGAAATTAACAGAAACATGCGTTACGTTTTGTTTCATACGTGAGAAAGCAGCGAAAATTGTTAAGATCCACACTAAAAAAAAAGTAGAATTTTTACCCCAAAATCGGTATAAAAATTAACTGCAACAATTTTTATCCTAGTTGGAGGCATCGTTTATGTAAATTAGGTCAAAATTATCCGTAACAAAATTTATCCAGCGTTTTTTCTGTGCGATGAAGATCTAAAATTAGTAATATTGCTAATTTCAAGTACTCAAATAATGATTCCATTTATATTAACGATGTTATCCTAACGAAAATTGATTTGAAAATCCTATTTGAAAATAAATATATATTTAAGGGCATAATGAACCAAGTTTTAAAGAATGACAAATAGGTATTATTTCACATTGCATGATTGCTGTTATAGATAAAACAAAGAAAGCTTTTGTGCCATAACTGATCGGACAGTTAGATTATAATACACACCTAATGTATAAAAATTTTGCAGAAATAGTAGTCTTCTTTTTATTGGATTGATCTG